AGATACACAAAGGCCTGTGGAGACTCAGTAATCGCTTAATCTTTAACCGACGCTAACAACCATCGGTCTTCCGTAACACACGTATGCTTCCAGTAAATTTTTTGACGTATAATTTAGTTCGAGTAAGGTTTTAAGGGGATATATAGGTGTGCGGTACGAGTCGAGGTGGCGAAATATGGTGGAAAGAGCTGTGGTTCTTCAATAGGGCGGGTGTGCACTTGATCATTAGATCTCTTGGGTAGAGGATGAATGGTATCAGCGGCAGCTGATTTAAAAGTAGATGAGAGGCGCGACTAGATTTCAAACACCACGTCACAACGTGGTGCGGCAAAGCTCTTAAGTTTGCTCAGCAAATGCGACGCTTCAACTCAGCGTATCAAGGAGCCGCTCCTGCAGCACTGGTTCGGGCAGTGGACACGTGCGTTGTCCCAATAGCAACTTTTGGATCAGATGTTTGGTGGCCCGGCCTCAAACGTCCGACCATTAGGGGAATCATCACACCTCGTACCAGCATTTTCTGTGAGATGATCGACAAGGCAATCTTGACGGGACTGCGCGATGCCCTCCCGGTAATGAGAACGACACCGAATCTTGTTCTCCACCGAGAAGGAGGTATCCCAACAGGGAAGATCATTCTGGAAGGGAACCGACTACGGCTTTCGGCTCGGCTACACTCACTAGACAATCGCCACCCGCTCTGGACCCGTGCTGCCGTGTGTCCAAGAGATGGAACACGGAAGTACAAGAACTATGCTCGGATCTATAAAAATCCAGAGTTCCAGATGTCACGAGTCCAGCGGGCTTACCGACAACTCCCGGACGCGGAAAATGCCGAGCCTTTACCGCCGCCATGCTATCTTTCGGGTTTCGGCTCAAAGTTAGAGGAGTGTAACGGCTTGTGAGCCGATTGTTGTGTGGCACGTGATTGTATTCACGTGCTTCTATAATTCTACAGTAGTCTAGCTTTACTCCAGATCAGCTCAGCTGTAACTGGAATATTCTAGTCATTGGTAGCAAGACTGGGAACTACTATGACTGGAATATACGAGAAGCAGATATCAGTCAAGAACGAGTATTCTAGAGTTCTTCATAGATGTATAAATGGTTGAAGTAATACTCTGATAGTTAGCCATAGAAAAAATTATAAACTACCTTCGTACATCTGATTGCTCCTGCATCGACACTCGAACCGTGACAAGGAGGAAGAGAAGGCAACTCGGTTCATCGATAGTGTACCGGCATCAGATATTTGCGCCTATCCAGATGGATCGTCGGAGGGGAATGGTCGCTCAGCATGGGGGCTCATCCTGAAGAGGGATGGAATAACTCTGTTGAAGGGATATGGCATCAAGCCTGGTGGTGAAGTGCTTGATGCGGAAATACTAGGGGCGAGGAAGGCCCTGGAAGCTGCGCTGTGATTGTCGGGGAGGGAGAACGGGGGAAGGGACGGCAGACAGCAGATAAACGTACTGACAGATAGTCAGTCTGCTGTAAAGGCACTGCTGACGGAAATAGCCACAAAAAGCCTCGACGACGTATGCCAATTTAGGGCGCTATCAAAAAAGGCTCTAGTCTCGGTGAAGTGGATACAGGCCCACTCCGGGATACAGGGAAACGAAGATGCAGATAGAGCTGCACGCTCCGGCCTCAGACAACTGCCAAGCAAAGACAGCCAGCCTGGCTCCGTCACAATGGCGTTCGTTAGTCGGCTCATAAACCGGAAACGTCAAGCGCTTCTCGACGACTGGTGGGAAGAAGTATGTCCACCTAGGTATCGAAATCTGGGTCTTCTCACGCAACGACGCAAGCCACGCGAGCAGACACTTTCCCGGAGGCTACTCCGTGAACTGATCTCAGCCCGTACGGGCCACGGAAACTTCGCGGCATGTCACCGCCGTTTCAACAACTTCGCAGCTTCAATGGAGTGTGCGTGTGGGGAGGAAACATCACCTCTCCATTTTATTCACTGTCGACTGCACGCACGCCAGACGCGTCGACTCCGAGGTACAATGTCACACCACGACCTTGTCCACAAGCTTCTCGGGCCTAAGTGCCTCGAGAACTTTACAAAATTTGCGCAGGAAACCGGCTGCTTCGGGGGCCCACCTACGGATCCGTCTCCAGCTCTCAGCGGAGACGGTGGTAACTAGATCATACCATGAAGCATGACGGGCGGGAAAACGAGACGAGAAGTGTCATTTTCCAACCACAAACAGGAGTATGGGATTTGAAAATTTAGTTATGGGAGTTTGTGTGGGCATTTATTTTCTTTATCATAACTAGCTACTTGTTGTGTAGTGAGTCATGCGGTGAGACCGAGTCGAGTATGTGGGAAGCATGATCTTGGCCGTGTGCACCGGTCCTTGACTCCTAGGAGATATAGAGCATAGCTTAGGACCTAAAGCTTAAAAAAAACAGCTGTCTGCCACTCTGCTTTCCAAATTAAATTTAGCAAATTTCCTTCTACCGGGAACTTCACTTTTTTTTATTTTAACAAGTAGTTTTAAATTACATCCGCAGAACAAGAAAATGAGAATAAATCCCTCCATCTAACATTAACCCCATACCAGATCGTAAGGGAATATCTAATCGGCCCTTTGGATTTTGTCGTAGAACTTCGTGAGCTCGACCCAGTTTCCGAAGGTAAGAGCGCCCTCGGGCGTGCCGTGTACCCATCTGATGCCAGGGTGGAAGTGTTGAGGTCTACAGCAAAGACGGGCACGGTTTCTTCCTTTACTGCAGTAGAAGAAGTGATCTGGGCTTTTTTCCTCGCCACAGGAGCAAGTCATTAGGGCATCTTCGTGTGCGAAGCGACGATGATATTGGGCGAAATCTCCGTGCCCGGAACGAGCCGCAATTAACGCCCCAAATGCACGTCGGTTTAAACCTTTCAGTTCTGGCGTTATTCCTATACTAGGACCAATTCCGAGTTCCTTGTATCTAGTGGGGCCTTACTGAGCCCAGTAGGCGGTGGTGGAAGCGTTGTACAATGGAGAGATTTCTCTTTTTGCTCGTGCTATGGATAGAGGTAGGAGTGGCGCAGTCATTAGACAAGCCGACTTCGCTAGAACATCAGCTGCTTCATTTCCAGGGATTCCAGAATGTCCGGGGCACCATCTAACACCGACTGCTCCTGATTTATTACAGGATGCCCCTGTCCTGTTTGACCAACTAGCTGCTAGCTGCCGAAATTTTGCAGTGTGGCAAAAGCTTGTTGCATTTGGTGTTAACAAGAGGAGTCGAAGAGCCGCTTCTTGGTTATCTAGGCAGATAGTTACGTTGGTTGCGTACACATGGAGGGTGAGTGTGTCATCAAGACACCTTGGGCATGGACAGCTCAGGTGATACGATATTATTATTATTGTTCTTTTTTTAAAATCATTTAATGTGTATGCAGCTATATAGCTATGACACATGACCGGTGCTATGTATACATGTCGAACGACTCTTTTGACGTTAGAGACACTCATGCTCTGAATTTCATTCGCAAATACCACTATGAGGTATGCTTGCTTACACAAACAGGCGACCCTCCTCCGTAAGTACCCACCAAAGGGAATTTCAAAACCTTTGGTTATCCAAGCATGCCTTCGTCATCCATGCATACCAGCGCCGCGAGAAATGTGGTTGTGTTTTGCCGGATTTGAACCAGCGATCTACTGTCTCGAATGGGATATGTGTCCTAACTATCCAGACCTTACTTGGGAGACCATCCCAGATAATGTGCCACTGCACCATACACCCATGGCAGTACTAAAAGTGTCGCTTGTACTCGTGCATTCGAAGTCGGATGGCGCACGAAGCTCAATTTGTAAAACTCATTTCAAAAATTCAAAATCTCACCCCTTTGGAGATTGTTTCCAAGGATAGCATAATCTTGTACGTTTGTTCTTATCTCTCTGATGTCCGTCTCAAAAAAACTGCCTCCCAGATTTGTGCACCACTATTTGTCCCCTCCAGCGAGTATCCATTTTCTTGTGGGCGTGTATGTGGAGGCCGTTTGAGGCAAGAGACTGATATGACGAGAGGTGTAGCCATTGAAGTAAGGATGTCCAAGATCATACTTGCAGAGTTGATGAGTCTTTTACCGGAATTGAACTTGTTAGGACTATGATATTGACTTGGTTGGGAGTATGGAATTATTGCCTCGTGGGCCAACTTGTTCGGTTTTGCAAAATTGGACTGGACTTAGCAATGTGAGAATATTTCGCTCCCAGATTCTTAGAAGACAACGCGTACAGGCGTTCAGTCTATGCCCTCCAGCTTGACTCTTTGCCACACGGTGTGTAAGCTCAAGTTCTTCAGCGACCTGTTGAGCCAAAGGGGATAGATTTTGAGAGTTGGTCATCTTTTATACGATGACTAGATAGAGGAGCAAAATTGTAATATTCAATCCTAATGGATATTAAAGTTGAATTTACATGAAGTTGCTGGTATGGCGTAATGAATACTCATGATCTCGATTCTGTGCCACAATAAGCCTTGTTATCCGGTTTAGATTGAGTCTCAAAGCACGTGAGCGACTGTCACGAGCCTGGACCCTTTAGAACTTGTCACATAGGATATTCGGAAGTCACTATGTTTGTAAACTGCTGTTTAATCAAAGGATATTTGTATAGAGTAGCCTCTTGAATGTCGACATGCCGTTAAATCGGGGTAAATTCTATATTTCTTGATCCAAATCTTAGCACAATCTTTCAAACATCGCTTTGCACACAAAGGAACCCCCGCTTTACTCCGTCTCTCAATTTCAAACATCTGTCACACTAAGTCATTACAAAAAGTTAGAAGTTGGTTTTCATAATAGTCAAGTCTTGGTTTAACCTGATCCCAAGAACTTTGGCGAAATAAAGCCCTAACAACTGCAATACTTGTGGGTCTCTTATTCTTAGATAGTCTAAAAATTAGCAACATAGATAGCTTACAATTTATCAGGAACAGATAAAACATCACCAGTATCCTTCTACTTCCTCATACCAACAGCAAGCTGACACATTGAAATGGACCCGGAATCCAACCCCGTGGTTACTAGTATATCATGTGCGCAGACAAACCTAGATGAAGGAAAGTCTGGAAAGTCGCAAAATTCTGTTACATTTGATGAAAAGGCTCTGCCTTCAACTGCCGAACTTAAAAAAAAGGCTAAAGAGGAAAAAGCTGCTCGTAGAGCTCGAACTGTTCTGCAAAAACAAGGAAGCGCCGTCCCAGCTCAGGCTCTGTCGGCGCAACAAGCTCAACGGTCTAAAGCTGAAGTGCAAAAAGGAGTTAAAGCTCAACACAAGCGCGTAACCTCTATTGAAGGTAAAGGGACTTCTATTAGATGTCTACAGAGGGCGATATCTCCAATCCCAGAGGTGCCTAAAGAGGATAAAACTGTGGAATTTTTCAGACATCTTTACAAGCAACGAACTTCAACTATTGCAGGTGTAAGTAAAGAAGTTCACCCTGCAGTCTTAGCACTTGGGCTGCAGATGAACAATTATACTATTTGTGGGAGCTGTGCAAGGCTTGTTGCAACCTTGCTTGCGTTCCAAAAGGTAATCAACTAGCCAACCCTATTCTGGGAAGAAAATTAACCCAACAGGTGATTCAATCATATACTACGCCTCCGATGAATTCTTTGACTCGCCATCTTACCTCACACGTATTATCACCGCAGATTGAGTATCTATCTTCTTGTCGACCGCTATCTATCTCTATGGGAAACGCCATACGCTGGCTTAAACTTCTGATATCTAAAGTAGACCCTAACACCCCCGATGCTGAAGCTAAAAAGTATCTGTGTGATTCTATTAATGTCTTTATACGCGAAAGAGTCACTCTAGCCGATGAAGTTATTTCCAAAAACGCTGTCGAGAAAATTAGAGATGGAGATGTGATTATGACTTACGCAAAAAGCAGCTTAGTGCAGCGAGTATTTTTGCATGCCTTCAAACAAGGAAAACAATTCCAAGTAATTGTAGTCGATTCTAGACCACTGCATGAGGGAAAGCATTTAGCGGCAGCTCTAGCCAAACTGGGAATAGACGTTAAATATTGTCTCTTAAATGGACTTAGCCACAACATACAAGATGTAACAAAGGTGTTTCTTGGAGCTCATGCCATGATGAGCAATGGCCGATTATTTTCTCGGATTGGAACGGCACTGGTTGCAATGGAAGCAAATGAAGCCGACAAACCCGTGATAGTTCTTTGTGAAACCATCAAATTTACTGAAAGAGTAGCCCTGGACTCTATTGTGCATAATGAGATTGCTCCGGCTGATGAGCTGGTAATATCTGGCGGGGTACTAGAGGGCTGGCGTAACGTCGAAAAGCTCCAATTATGCAACCCGATGTACGATGTCACGCCTGCCGAATTTATTCAGATGATTGTAACGGAACTAGGTAACGTGCCACCCACATCGGTACCAGTTTTGCATCGACTGGAAAATGAGGCTTAAGAGTAGCGATACCAGATTTTTGGACAAACTCAGGATTTCACAAGTGATTTAAAGTGTTAACTAATTGATACTCCAAACCGGAATAAGATCGAATAAGGCTATGGATAAGTAAATGATGAACTATTCGTTTCCTGATCTAGATTGAAGATTCGGCTTCTCATCCTTGAGATCTGATTGAATGTAGAAGCTGCCTCTTTTGCGATAAGATAATTTTATATCACTATGGCTTTACATTTATTAATACCTGACAGGACTATACCTGATTCGATAGAAGCTATATTTTTTGATGATTAGTTTGTAGTACATATCTAAACCATTATCGCCAGCTTGGACCAAATTCTTCCTCCGGATGGTTATGGGTTGACATCTGCTTTTAGTGTCCTGCTGGAATCTGAGTGTCAAATGTTCTTCTATGACTGATATCCAGTCACGATGAATAATGAGAATTAGATTGTAGACGAGATGACGATCAAACAGAGTGATTTTAGCCAGTTTTTAATCAAGAGCTCAATCTGGAATGCTACACGATGTCAATCATCCCATTCCCGAATTTGTAACGCAGTTTGGCTCGAGCCTGTTAGATGTTCTTACTAAACCTGAATCCCTCCAACATTTCAATTTCTCCTAAAATATCTTTCCTAGACTTGCCCATCTTGCGACCTATCAAAACAATACAAAATCAAGAAATCATAATCAAAGCAGGGTGTAAAAGAATATTAAACTCTGAACAATTGCAACGCACTATAAAGGTACGGTCGAAGTAAGACAATAACTTTGATTACACTGCTACTAGTGTCAGTTGCACTCGAACTGTGAAGAATCACCGCCCACAAAATGGGCATAATACTTTAATGGTATTACAAATAGGGCGTTCAAAAAATCTCGGACACTGGTACTTTGAACCTGAGTTGTTTTTCATATTTTCGATCACCATATTCATAAGTACAGCAGCAACATAGAAAAGTTGTATGTTTAATTTGTTAATGTATTTAAAACAGAGATTGGCGAGTGGAACTAGGAGATGTTACAATAGACGACCAGAAGGGCAGCAAACAATAAGAAGCCTGTTGGTTAACTGAATTAGGCATCCAACAAAGAGAAAGCTCCTGTGTAAGTTAAGGAGAGTCTGGGTCTGGACAGAAAGTATACGTCTAGAGTTGGGAAGGTATTAATAACTAGGATGTGTAATGGTCGAGTATGAGGAGGAAGTTGTGCTTCGATGCATACAAATTGGTTTCTCAAGACAATTGAGTTTGACATTTTTGAATAAGTGGGTGAAGTCTGGTGGGTCCAGTCATTCAGGTAGGACGAGCTTCTTGTACTTTATGATAGTTAACCCGGACCAGCCCGGCTTCACTCGTGCCCAAGATCTTAAAGTCGTACGGAGGGTGCCAATTGTCTGGCACAAATATATGAAATCGAACCAGCCAAAAAAAGCTCTTAGTTCCAAGCCGGCTCTTATTTAATGGGATTTAAACTGTCGATTCATCTATTTGGGCCTTTATTTTTGCGTCTCTCCTGGCTCGTTTTTCGAGGAGTTGTCTTTTTCTATCAGCTAGCAAAGCTTTTTGCTTTACACCAACTGACTCGATCCACCAACCAAAACTTGCTCCAACGCCTCCAAATATCGGATAAGCCCAAAGACTACGCAAATCATGAAACGGGCGCATTTCAATTCCTAGCTGCCAAAGACGAACGGCGATGCCTACAAACAATTTGATAAGTGAAGGCTCAGTGATTAACAATGGGCATGGAGCAGCTACCGAAACCGCCCCAGAAGATGGCGTTGTGTACCATAATTTTGCAGGTCAAGTGTACTTTGTAGAGAGTTTGGCTGGCTTCAATTCCGGGCGTAGAAACCAGAATATTTTTGCTTCGATGATAATGTGGTTCAATGTGGCTGTGTAATTAGTAAGTTCCGAGAACATGGCATAGATCCGTTGAGAGTAATAAATTGAAGTCCTGCCCATGCACAGTTCGGGATGAAAATCACGTGAGTTGCAGTACAGTCTACAGAGAACCACATATCGTTCCAATTCGCAACGCCGGCCAAGGCAAATCCTTTACCCTCCAGTGGCGCCGGTGTAATTGCTCAACATGCTCTATATATCTGGGATAGCCAAGAAGAGTCACATCCGAATCAAAGTTGAAAGCAACCTCAAACACATCTAAAATCAAAGACTTCTCGTCAATGTCGGGCCTATCATTCTGATGCGAGTCCTCTACCTCAATCTTGCTACACCACCGATGAAAGAGTTACTCCAATTGCAATCAGAAATTTGCCTTATCAAAATTCGGCCATCTACCACTAAAAAGTTACGATGCTATGTACACCCGCGAGGAGGAAATAAGTCATAATATAGAAAGCTCGGGTCTTAGTCTATGGGGGACCATTGCTCTAATGGGGCTTCACATCTTGAGGGAGGACAGGCAGCTGGGACGTGGGACGAACGAGTGAAGAGGTCACAAATGGGCATGCTGGGACGCACATTTTTCGAGTGTCTTCGACTGAAGATTGTCTGTGGGTGCAGAAGCAACGATTTCGGATAGTGCTACTGACACTCTAATAACAGGCAACGATGTAAGGTGTTTGGGTCCACCTCTTGGTCGTCATCTCCCCGAATTAAAGTCTGGGTAGCCTGGACACCTACCTCACTCGAGAAAGGGAAGACTTTGAGGCCATATTTCGCGCCATGGCTATAGAAAAGATGACAAAAGCATGTTAGAGTATCCAAGGGGCTTCCCTATTTTCTCTTTGGTCGATATGAATGGTTTAGGGAAGGGTGAAAGTCCCTAGCACAAAGGTCTCGAGTGGTATCAGCGAATGCGCCAACCACATGAATGATCCAAATGTCAACCTAAGTTTCCGTTGTATAAAGTCGTCTAGAAAGGACTAGCCTCCTCTGTGTAATGTTTCATGAGTGTTAAGCTTATGTCCGTCATGAATATACTTTCATTCATTCATTCATTTTGTTTCGGAACGGCGGACGAAGGCCGAACACATGTGAGTGTTGTCCTCTACGAATCTAGGAGTGAAATTTTCCCTTGTAGCCAAACTTCAGCCATCCCTAAACGGTCTTATCGATTTTATTCCTGACTGAGAGCCTTGTGAGAAGGAGTGATTCCGGGCAGATTTTGGTCTCAACTCCCGGATTTCAGATATTTCTCGACCATATAAATCACGAAGAAAATTATTAAGATCATTCAAGCCGATAACAGCTTAACCTGGTTACAACATGCACCCTCGATACATCAAACAATTTTTTGAAGTCTCTATTTAATGCCAAAAGAAAGCCACAATACCACTCGCGACCTTTTCTTTCAACACTGTTGTCTGCAGGGAATTATTAGAGAACGCCAAACTTGGGTTACTGAGTATGAATGTCCTTTGACGAAACTAAAGTCTTCAAGTGACTATGGGAGAGATGCTGGGTCGTGGAAGCTTTGGAATTGGTAAAAATTAAGGAGTCAAGATCGCAAGGGTATATCAAAATATTTGACAGAGGTAATCAATCCTTCCAAATTCTTAAAATTTTCTGAGATGCTGAGTAGTGACTGGGCATATCTGGTAGTCTTTACAGATGGAACTAACTGTTTGAAAATGGGTATGGGCTCGATGAGTAAGGCGGCTCAAAGAATATGGGCGCGATTTTATGAATAGAATAATAATGATATGAATCGGGAGAGTATGTGATATACTGTGGAGAAATAAAAGATGGGTTGAATAAATTGAATTGATTAGATTATCTGTCTTGGTGATTCCTAGACAGCCTATATACATCTATAATTGATAGACCAAATCCAAACTAGATACCATCCATCACTCGTTCCATACTCTAACAATGACAATGAATCGCACGACAGTGTACAACATGAGTATGGGGTCAGGGTCGGTGGATGAAAGCCTACACGGGTATCAGACCATACCATGCACTTGTCGAGTCTCAAGCATCAAACATGCTCAGTAAAGGAGATATCAATCATCTAGGTCATGAGTCAGGCTGTGAGTCATGTGTGAGAATCTTAGTGGTTCCAATCATGGGGAAACTTGAGACACATAGAGTCTGACTTTCCAACACTAACTTTCACTTGGCCATGTATTCTAGCACCATACGTCAGCACGGCGCTTAGTAAACAAAAAAGGTCCCATTTCGCAACACCGGGCTAGTCATCATCTGCATCATTTTGAATAAGCTAGTTCAACATCTACTGAGTTAGAATCTACATCTGGCCGGTAAAATATTTATAGCATGGTAGTTTCCATCAGCGCGCACGTTTTGGCCAACCACCAACCGGGAATCCCAACGCTGCCCAAGCTACATTCTTTCCTGGTATCATAGTCTATTACGATTACCAAGCCTACACCACAATCATAAGTAGCGTTCAATTATGTCCCTGTTCGCCGCGGACACTGAACTGAAGGACAGTTCTTTTCGACCGATAAGTTAATCAAGATAAACACTGTTAGAACACTTCTCACGGAAATTTTCTCATGGAGGAAGTTCATGCCCTACATGTCCGCGTATTGGTGCTTGTTTTTTAGTGTCTACTTATTTCAGTGCCTATTCCTAAAGGGCGGCTTCATCGAAAGTTAAGCACACTGCACCTCATCCAGAAAATCTCGACACCTCACATGACTATGCAGTTGTCGTATCTTGAGTTTAGCATTCTATAGCAGCTAGCCCCATGACATTGCGTCAAGAAGCCAAGATAACGCAAAAGATCACATAAAAAAATGTTTCCAAATGGGGTAAAAATGATATACCTAACTCAGGCCTATCTCTAATTTTCTCTTCGGGATATAATTTTTGTGCACGTATTTAAATTAGACCGAGGATACAATAAAAACCCACCGGAAAAAATCTTCTGAATAATGCTGACTTTTCGGGTGATGAAAACTTAACACCTGTCAGTGGTGTCCCCTACAAACCTCCAGCTCTCCCTGTAGAATCTCCAGAGCCGAGATTGAGTAACAAAGTCTTTACTTCGATAGGGGTTCCCGATCGCTTTCGCCGTCTGTATCGTCTTCATCTCTCAACACATTCCCCTATCACCATTATCATGAAGCTAACCACGATCAGACCAGATGGTAGGGTCGGAGCTCTACTCATCACCAAACCTTGATCACGGAGGAAAAGCCATCCGATGAGTTTCCGGAGCGTAGCCAGTATCCGGTACGGAGATGGTGGATTTGATCAAGTTGGCCTCAACTGTAACAAAGAAGGGAGATATAGATGAATATTCACACCTCATGTGGTTCCGGTGTCTAGGCCTCGCCTGGCTGGGTCTGCAGATTTTTTGAGACTTTTTCTCGCGCACACAGTTTCCACTGCAACCAATTTTTTTAGGCGGTAGGTTCCGTGGAAAAGGTGGTCGAATTCCACGGGTAAATACTAAGCTGAATGGCTATTCATCACAGGCAATATATCAGAGATACTTTGAAGTAACTAAAAAATATAGTAACACCGTACTAGGTGTGACCTAGGTAAGAGATGAGCCCAATGTACTAGATGTCATAGACTCATGTATTACAATAAAAAATAAACCAATGTCGGGTTTTATCGCTAACCAACGCGTGTAAAATGGAAGCTGTTGCAGAAAAGATCACTACCAAATGCTTCTTAGTAACGTTTTGATAGAAAAGCGTCATCATAGATATCAGACAAGAATGGGGATAGTCCCAAACCCACCAGACAGATGGACGACTAGCTATATTACAGTCTCGAAAATTTTTCCATTAACTCCCTCTCTTGCACGTGTATTTCACATTTCACTGAAGAACAAAAATGCCTACTTTGAAACCTCTGTCTAATTAGTTACAGATGATTCTTACGTTTGCTTTCTCCATACTCTACCACAGCTCAATGCTTTAGATGTTAGTTCTAGAATAACAGCTACGCTCGCTCGGCGTCGCAATAGTATAGCTTCTGATGGTGCATTCAGCATCAAAAAGAGCCCCAGATCAACATCAGTGCGGCCGGCAGTGGGCATGTCTGCCCGCTTTCCTGCATCAACTTCAACCCTCCTTAATCCGCATAAGAGCCGAAATGGTCCCTACATCCAAAAATCACATGGGTAACAGTCACAGTGTAGCGAGCAAGCAAGATTTCAAAAATTTAGGCTGAAATTCAACTACATACCTAGGCTATAGCATGAGGTGAGAAATGCACAACACCGAATTTAAATGTATCATCAAGCGGCGGCACCTATGCAATACCTATGTGAGGGCCTCCCCCTGGAAATACCGAAAGATTCCGCATATCGAACGATATAGAATTGCCTCAAGCTCGCATAAATCAAATTGTTACTTTGGTAGCATTGCGTGGTTGATTCACAGCTTAGTTCATTGATGTCCTGAATTATTGAAAATTTTCTATAATTACTGTCGTGAAACCCAGAGGTGTATTGCTATCGCAAGTTTATTGTAATAATTAAGATCACATTCAAAATTTAATTTTTCTTCTATCTTACAAAAATTATTACACCTACACTTGCGATATTCGTAACAAGTACCTTACTACTCGTCGACAGTATTACTCATTGACTAAGGTACTGCATGATTGTTAATAAGGTCTAGATCCTTGAGCAAGTACTTTCTTATAATCATAATATTGTCTTTTCTCAGTCTAAGATCATGTAGGATGTTGAATAGTTGCCAAGGGGAACCATTTCAGCTACTCATGTAAACTAAGCTAGTCAGGTCACATGACCTGACTATCAATACATAGACTTCATCTGTAGCGGTAGGGTTCTCATGCCAACATCTACAACGTAATACCGTATCCCACGTATCTTTCTTAAGACCGGCCCGGGATGTAGTAAACTGGTATGGAATTGGATTCGGAGACCCACGGCAGTCAAGCGTTATGGAAGCTCTGTTGACATCTTTATCACTAGTCGCTCAATTTCAATCCCATTATATATGTAACTTGTAGGCAGAGCTTTTCTCTTTAGATTTATTAACATTTAAACCTTGAGTTCTTGCTTGCCATAATTAGCGTATCATAACATAATACATGCAGGTCTTCTTTGCCTACAGGCCAAGGATACCTATACCAGTAGTATATCCCCTCCTATGCCTCCCATACAGCTCCCCTCAAACAGTACCACCCCTCACAAGTCCTCATTCGATCATACACTAAGAGGAGCCCTTAGCCCTTCATTATCTCCCCTCTCCAGCCAACGAAACGATGGCCATTTGCGGGTGTATGGCAGCCGGGAAAAATCGCAAAAACCACTGGGTGCGGAGCTCTCCTAATACCGACATTAGGACTAAATCCGAAGACATGTTGCCCCTTCTGAAGCGTTCGAAGAGGCCGGCCAGCTGGGCGCTGCATACTTGTGGGTACCTCGGGAAATACGCCCTCTGCCTTTCTAGCCTCCTTCCAACTCCCTCCCGAAGGTCGTGCTGAAATGTCAGAAAATTTTTGACAGAGTTTGATTGCTGTATTCGTAGCTTAGCCCACATTTTCTATGCGGTCTAGGGAGCTGGGATATAATATAGACTCTGCAAAAAGAAGCTCTCCTGGCTTGTCACCAGAAACCGCAGTCTTGGCGCTTACAAACATTCTAGAGTCGAAATCCTCTCAGAAATATCAGTCCCAGCATTCCAATAAGTGAAGTCTTCTCTATCTATTTCCACCTCCCATCCGCCTGTCATCTATCAAAAGGTAGAGCCCCATTAACTAGGACCTGAGCTTTTCATACTTTGACTTGATTACCCCCATTCGGATATAGGTAGCGTCACAATTTCGTAGTGGGAGATAGCTGGTGATTGGTGAGGCGAGCTCACGTTTTCAATTGCATCGATCCTTTGATCGGTCGTTGAAATGAGCTGGTATGAAGTATGTTAGAGAAGATGGACTCATGAGAGATTGTAGGCCTGTAGTGATGAGGAGTTATGGAGTATACATATGCTTGTGTTTGTGTCTGCTGTGACCTCGACTCGGTTACGAGACTCCTTACAATTCCTAGGTATGCAGAGCTTACTGGGTGTATACATCAGAAACGATGAATGTGAAGCATATCTATTTACCAGCATATGTGGATAGATGAGATTATCAACTTGATGGTAGATGGCCATCGGTGTAAGCCTGATATAAGTAATTTACGAGAAGAATATGTGGAGTTGTGAGGAAAGTGAATCAGCATCATGCAATGATTGATATGATCCCACCGTAAGACCGTGCGCCGTCAGAGCCGTCGCTATGTCTCTGCAAGCGCTCTAGGCTCTACACACCGAGACATAAGCTCATCATGGCAAGCCTTGAAGAATTTGAAAAAAATATCGCCGAGGAAAAGAAAAGTAGAAACCATATCTCTAGTCGAGTGAATAGTGAGATAGATTCTACGCGTTCAACGCATAGGCGTCGTCATGGATCGGAGCGTAATTCGAGGGAAGGCCATAAAAGACATTCTGACAGCCATCGGCACAAGCGCTTGAGACGTATAGATGATAATACAGAACATCCTACAGGTAAACTTGACAGAAAACAATCAAGTCCTCATAGAAACCCACCAGACTCTGCAGGTAAATCCCACGACACGAAGCACACGACACGCGACGCTTGGATGGAAGCTCCGCTTGCCTCAGACTTAACATATGTACAAAAGAGGAACAAAAATCCGAATAAACCCTTATTATCAAAGTCTGAAACTGAAATAAAGCTTCACAAGAACGAGCTCAATCGCAATATATATGAGGACACAGCTCAGACAAGCCACTCAACGAATGATGAACTACCAGTTTCTCAGATTTCATACACATTTGGTGATGAGGGATCGCAATGGCGTATGACAAAACTTAAAGCTATTTATACACAGGCTGAGCAGAATGGAAGGCCAATTGATGAGGTAGCTCTAGAAAGGTTTGGGGATCTACGCGAATTTGATGATGCACGGGAAGAAGAAATAGAACTAGAGCGCCAGAAAACCTACGGTGAAGGCTATCAGATGAAGTTAAAACCAGATGGCGGACTTTTTAGGCTTCGGAAACCAACTAGCGATCTCAAGAAGACTCCCGACGAGCCTGCAAGGTTTAAATCAGCTCCTGAGCTAGGAACCTCTTCGTGTGAAAATACACATAGAACTACTGAGAAAGAAATAGACGCTACAGACCTTAATCGTTTGAAGGCACAACTTATGAAAGAAAAATTAAAAAATGGTCCAGATGTATTAAGGTTAGAGGGAGACTATAATCAAGCATTAGAACAATTTAATAAAAATTCTTCGACCCCACAGACGATAGTTTTAGGGTTAATGGACACTCGAAATCTAGCAGGGACTCGTGGCGAAGCTAAGTCTGTCGATACAAAGAGAGGCCGCGAGAGAAATTTGATTGAAGATAATGAGGATATGACTATCGAAGATATGGTTCGGGAAGAGCGTCGCACCAAAGGACAAGTTGGTGGTCAAGGAAAGAGAGCAGCTGAGCGGATAGCAAATGATGCCAAATTTTCTGCCAACCTCGATTACATGGAGGAGAATGTTGACAATCTCGCCAAACAGGTACACAAATCTGATACTAGACTTAAGAATATTGCAATCAATGAATATAAAAAGATGGATAACATCCTAAATAATGTAAGCGTTTTCATCCGTAACTCTATCTTTATTAAAACTCTCCACAACGGAGATAACCTCGTAACGCAAGTAATAAAATTTCACCACTTCTCTAAAATACAAGAGAGGAAGGATCTGAATAAGAAGCTAAGATTTTTAGTGCCAGTTGTGTCATCATGAGGACAAAAATCAGCCACCGATAGCTCCGGTGATATCCCTTGCCACGCGTGTCTATCTGACCTTGCCAACTGAGCCGGAATTAAATGAAGGTGGAGCCGTCATAGTACCTTTAGAACATCGAGTCAATCTTTTAGAATGTGACGATGATGAATGGGAGGAAATTCGAAACTTCATGAAATGCCTCACTCGTATGTACCATGATCAGGGCCGAGACGTTGTATTTTATGAAAATGCTGCCGCACCACACAGAAAAATGCATGCGGCCATGCAAGTAGTACCTTTACCATATAGTCTGGGAGAAACTGCGCCAGCATTCTTCAAAGAAGCTATCCTTGCAGCCGATGAAGAATGGACCCAGCATAAAAAGTTGTTAGATACGGCGGCACAGGCTCGTGGAGGTTTAGGAAAGAGAGCCTTTCGGCAAATGATCGCCAAAGAAATGCCTTACTTCCACGCTTGGTTTACTATTGACGGTGGTCTCGGTCACATTGTCGAAGATTCCGACCGCTGGCCTAAGGGTGATCTCTTTGCACGAGAAGTCATTGGTGGCATGCTAGACCTTGACTCCGACATTATTCGGCGACAGGGTCGCTGGAAATTTGACGATAAAAGGATTCCGCTTTTCAGAGCAAGGTGGCGAAAGTTCGACTGGACTCGAGTACTTACTGATCAGTAAAAAACCATTGTCGACAGAGATTAATGGAGAAGGTTAAGCTTCTGCAAATCAATTCTGCTGAAGGTTTACGACTTGACCCTATGATCTACGAAGCCTCTTAAGATAGCGTGAACTTATATCACATACTTCGATGATGGTCACTGTGGTAGGCTCTATGCTCTAGAGTTTTTGAATCTCTCGCGTAATTTCTGATATTGGACAACATCCTAGATTCCATCTTATGTTGAGAAATATTTGTCTCTAAGAAAGATCAATATTGAAAGTCCGAGATCCTGTCAGTGCTTGGTGATTAATAGGCAAAGAACAATCTAGTATTGATTTACATGGCAAAATTTTCTCGGTGACACGTTTAACTTTGTTATTATTCATCAAAACTCTCTAGAGACAATTTTCACTCTGCGTAAGAAATCTGACCGACAAGATTCAATATTTTTATGCTGCCAACTATTCTCTCATGACCTGGATCAAAAACGGATCCAAGAATCGGTGAAGCTACTCACAACTAAGGTTAAGTACGTGTGAGCTGATAAACATCGATACTAGTATAGAGAGTTCATTCGCCTTTGGGCCCTATTGTGGTTGCAGTAAATAAAATTAATATAAACACATTACCCAACAATATTGAATAAAGTGGCTTACTGTAAAAGAGGCAAAAGGATACGATCTACAATGTTCATATCCTGAAAAGGCATCTTACATCCAAGAGGAAAAGAGATATTTCTACACCTCTATTCAATAACATTGCTATTATCAAAATAATCTAATATTCATACAAAGCAGTTGAAAACTAAATCTTGCCTAAAACAAATAAGATGAAGTAAAATTTTCAAAAGTTAAGAGGAAACAGGAAACTCAATTTAATGTTTAGGGCAACTTTGACGTTTTGTTAGTAGATGAAGAATAGTGGTTTGGTGGCTTGAGATTGTCCATGGAGCTTTCTAGAATGAATCATTAGCCTCGAGATTAGTATCTCAGCTGAATTGTTTCAATAAACGAGTAATTAAGGGACTTTGAACGGATACTCTACTATATGAGATAAGGTGTGCAGATTACTTTCTCGCTCTAGTCAGAAAAAAGGCGTTTGTTTTCTCGTAGGGCGGGTTTGATATGGGGCTTATCTGCACAATATAATTTTTCCGTGGTTATATATCGGTTGAATCGAGTAGTTTAGTTACTTTTCCGACTTTTATAACCCAATGTTACCCTTTCTCTCCAGGGTCTTGGAGGTAGGACAACGCTCTATGTAGCGGCAATTGTCTCTACTTAATGCCTCACGTATATTGCGGTATTCACCGAGAGGAGGTGATGTGCAACTCAACAGTTGTCGAACGAATATTGATTATGTCTATCGCAAAAGGTCATAGAAAGTCGATTTTTTCCATGGATAATTCCAAATATATCACCGCATTCAATTCTGACTTTCTCTGGTAAATTACAGGCGAAGCCGATTGTTTCCCTTCATTTTCTGACCCCTGCATTGTGTTAGTGATACCCAGAGGATTTGGATCGGAATTTCCCCTAGGTCTGAAGTGTGTCGAAGAAGACAATACAATAGCGTGAGCTGTTTCACGGGATGGAATGTCCGAAAAGACAGAGTAATTGGAAGAATTTAAGCAAATTACGGGTTTGCGAAACCAAAAATGTTGCTAAAACCCTTTAGACAACTTACAGATCAGAAGTATAAATTTCATCAATGACACAATTGAGCATATTTTGATACAAACATTATGGATGAAAGGGCGGCAATATTTACCAAACAGTATGGGCTGGACAGTTATGAAGAAGCCTGAAAGATAATAGATATAAATCAAAAATATTGAGATGGATAAGAACACTTTTCTAATAGACATTGACGTAACCGGCTACTATGGTTGGTAATTAATTTTTCCCTCACTTTAACATGTATGGTTGAAGCATCTTTCCCGTTAAGGTATCAAACGAAATATCAGCCGGCAAAGACGAATTCTTCACCTTCCAGTGGTGCCGGTGTAATCGCTCAGTATGCTCTGCATATCTGGGATAGCCAAGAAGAATCACATCCGAATCGAAGTCGAAAACAAACACATGCATATCTCCATTTAACGACTTCTCGATAATGCCGCTCTTACCATTATCCTCTGAGTCCTCATCCTCTCTTTAACTACGCATCATCTCGCCTCGACGACAAATAAAGATGTTGCTCCAATTGCAAACAGGAGCTTGCCTCAGTTATTACCGACCATCACTCACTACAAATTTACAATGTTACGCATACTAGCAGGGATGAAATCAAGTCGGTAAATACAAAGCCTGGGACTTGGCTTATGGGAGACTGTTGCTCTAATGGATTCATACATCTTGAGGAAGGACAGGCGGCTGAGATGTGGAGCGAGAGAGGGAAAAGGTCTCTGGAGAGCATGCTGGAATAGACATTTTCGAGTGGTTTTACCTTTGGAGATTTGGCCAACGCCAAGACCAAGGTTTCAGCTGATTGGCTAGGACGACTTCAAATGTCGATGGGTCAGCGGCACATCTCAGATGCCCAGACTGCATAGAGAAGTTGGGCTAAGCTATAAATACAGCAGTCACGCTCTATCAAGACTTTTCTGAAATTTCAGCACGACCTTCGGGAAAGATTTGGAAGGAGACTAGAAAGGCTGAGTGTGTATTTCTAGAGGTACCCACAAATTTGCAGCGCCCAGCTGGCCGGCCTCTCCGAACGCTTTAGAAGGGTCACTAGATCTTCGGATTTAGTCCTAAAATTAATATTACAAGAGCTCCGTACCCAGAGGTTTCTGCGATTTTCCCCGGCTGCTATACACCCGCAAATGGCCATCGTTTCGTTGGCTGGAGAGGGGAGATAATGAAGGGCAAAGGGATCCTCTTAGTGTATGATCAAATGAGGACTTGTGAGGGGTGGTACTGTTTGAGGGGAGCTGTATGGGAGGCATAGGAGGGGATATACTACTGGTATAGGTATCCTTGGCCTGTAGGCAGAGAGGACCTGCATGTCCTACATAGTCATAGACTCAGACAGGACAATAAAATTAATTATACCGAGCCTGACCGTCCGGAAACCCGCTGTGTGTACGCTGTAGCACAAATTCCTTCTCAGCCTCGGCCACCACGCGCCCGAGCCCTTGACATCCTCTTTGACTCCGAAAAAAAAATTTAGTCACAGATCTCTTCGTTACTCTAGCCTTATACCTTCGTATCGTATCGTTGGGTTATTGTCGTCATTTGAGATTTTTGTAATCCCCTCGGTGTATCTTCCCTTTTCATCCTCCTTTGTACAGGTCCCGTTTTCATCATGACTTTCCTCATTAGGGCATGTGTAGGTAGGTGATGTGACTAGTTTGGAGGTGGGTCGCAGGTGTGGGATCAACTGAGAAATGCTTCGCCGCAAATATTCAAGGAGTTTGAGTTATGATATTTGTTTGTATACGACCCCCAGACAGACCTAGGCCCATTCGTGAATCGTATGTTGGTGGTGATGAGTTTTTGTTCGACTTTCTTGCGGTTGTGAAATCTCTGATGACTGATTTCTCGACCAAAATACCGAGTACAACTCCTTCAAGCCAGAAATCTATCAAAAATCATCTCACCCTTTTTCGTGACTGAATCTCGGCTCCGAGAGAACATTTCACTCGCTGGTTTGTAGAGGTCACCAGTGACATGTATTCAGCCTTTGTCCTCGCCAGGAGAGTTGCCATTGAATCCATCAATTTTAGCTCTCATTGCCCGGCTCAGCCACTCTATGCGTACACGTGGGATAACTACTCCAAGAAACACACTAGTCGATTTTCGATCTTGACTTACCAGGGTGGAAACTTGTGCCTAGATGTGAACCAAATTTCAGCTCCGCATCAATGCCCATGTGTTATGTAAAAACTCAAATGAATTTTCGGCTATTTTACAATTTATCGATAGGTTGATGAGAAGAACGTAGGATCTTCATTTGTGTGTAATCTTAATCTGCTTGGTTGAAAATAATCCACATCTAATTGCACACAAGTCATGCATGACGCCTAGTTGAATTAATTTGCTCTTCTGAACCTTGGTTTGGAGGCACTATCTTCGGTTTCCACAGCAAAAGCCCTTGGAAAATATACTGGAATGAACTGCCTCTACAAGCAATAGATTATGAACCGATGGTAGAGCATAAATTATATTTGTTGGCAACTGCTACGCGCAAAGGACCTTTTGGCCATGAACCTAGAAACAATTTCAAATGCGACATGACTAGGGTATACTCTGAGCTAATCATAACTACAAGTCAAGACATCTCGTTTGTCAACCAACTCAGGAATTCCAAGAACTAAGGATTCTTGTATGGCCCACAGCAAAGATCATTATATGGGCCTCCTAATAAGAATTTTACAGTGCATTGAGAAGGGCAAATTTTATGTTGTCGATATCTTTTTGCCGTAGGAGCAACCTTCAGCTCATCCTTTGGAAAGGCCAATCAACTATGATCTCTATCAGATAGAAGTTATCCTAGACAACTATTATTTTAACAGCTCGAAGATGAAAAACAATATGATGGCATAACGTGTTATTCCATCCAAAAAAGGCCATCTTATGTTTCTAACCCTGCAATAATCCTTAGTATGATATGGAACACGGCAAATTAAGTCAGATTTCAAGAAACGAAACTATTGGCTTCAGGGCGAGTGCAACTAGGACCCTACGGATAAATTCTTGCAAACTATCAGATGAAAAGTAACCCATATTTCCATCAATGCGGTAGATAATGGGATGAACAAGTAAGGAAGGCATAGGATGCCAACAAAACTCAAGCTTAGTGGCTCTTGAGGACGAGTCATTTAACATTGCCAGAGAACAGCAGCAGCTGTTCAAATTTAACCCGATTTTTAGCTGGATGGGATTTTAATAGTATCTTAGCAACGTGCACCAGTAATTACAATCTTTCACAGTCGCTGTCTACGGAGACAGGGGAGGATTCTTAGAATCAATCATAAGAGCTTTTGACTATTGGACGTTGGATATTATGTGAATATTACCGCAATCCCATTGCAAGTAAATAAAATGAAGCTGGTGATCCTTCTCAAGTTGCAAATGTGCCACGTAAGTGTAGCACGCCCTGCCCAAACGACACCCAAGTCAATTGATTAATTTAAGATATGAGCTACTCACTAGAACAAGGTTATAATTTTTTGTATACTAGCATTAGCACAGTTGTTTATGACATTAGGTCCTGCCCACTCTTATGACCTAACGACTCCACATTCATGTGCCTAAATCCTAGAAACCATGAATTCCCTCAACTGTCCTGCTGCAATTTATTGGTGCAGTAAATAAATTTGTCGAACTCATCCGAACTCCCGACGTAATTTGTCGGTTTATGCCCAACCCTTATATCAATAGGTTCCTCCTCTACCGAAGAAGCATTATCCAACATCATCATTCATTCTCTCACTCATTCAATTACCAAAAGCTTCAACTTTATAACTTTACAACCTTAAACTTTCACTATGAAACAATTTATCGCTACTACTTTTCTATACACCCTTCTTGGTGCCAATGCCATTCATGCTCACGGAACCACACGAGATCAAGTGACTGTCTGCGACACCCAGAATACACACAGTATTTCCTGCACGGAGCATTACTCTTCACTAGCTGTCAAGCATGTCAAGATTCCACAACCTGAACACGAAATAGAATACTTGGCCAAAGGGAGAACATCTGTACACCAATGCAAGGGTGCTCAGTATACCGCCCTTCAAGTTACGCAAGGATTACAAAAAGCTTGTACCAAATTGAAAAAATGGAAAAGTAATAGCGGCAAGAAGGGATTCAGGAGATTCGGTAGACAAAACAAAGACAAACGATACGGTGGACTCAGAAGACTTCGAAGACGTGCGAGGAAACAGTTGAAGCTAAAGAACAAGAAGAACAACTTCATATTTCGTCTACATACTGTACCGCAAGCAGACTATAAAAATGGTAATTACATAACTTTCCAACTTTGAATATTAAAGCCACTTAAGAATGAGTTGTAACCTAACGAGTTTAATAGGATTTACCAGAATATCTATCGTTTTCAACGAGCATTGCGATCTAATCGACGTCGTAGCTATCAAGATGAGGAGGAGAAGAATTCAGCTTTCATTTGAGGAGAAATACAAGCCCAAGTACTCTCGATGCAAGTATATGGACAACTAGGCCAATAGTGCACGCCAAAGCTGAAATTCAATGAATCTAATGTTGAATTACAAAACAACACAGACACCATGGAGGGAATAAAATATTGGTACACTCCTTCTGTTCGCATTAACACACCAGAGCAGTATGTCATTTATAAGACTACCTCAAATCAATCTTTCTATTTCATTATGTTCAATAAGCTGTTTAATCATTTTGTATCCTCAAGTTGTAATTGAATTATTGTTAACTAGTTGTTATTTCTGAAGTGTAATATGCCACTTCACTTAAGCATATGGTCCAATTTTGATATCTACTTGAACGTGAATTACATTTATAAAGAATAACCTCTTCAGTCTAGGTAAGGCACTAATCACGCACAGCTCTTGAGCTATTAAACATATGACTAGTTATTGCAACGCTAAGGTGATTAGATGATATTTAGCGGGATATATGGCTAAGCAAAGTCTATTTAAATAGCATCGTCCTAACAAGTTCTACCATGTACATCAGTTCACACCAACTTGTACGATTCAAAACAAATCCCATGTTTTCTCACTCCGTGACTAACGTCGTAGATGCGAAGGTGAGTATCTAGCATGAGTTTGCGTTTCATAATACGTGATATATGACGTGTGTCCCAATATATCAAAAAAGAATGCAATCAACCTGGTTTGACGCCTAGGAAGACGAAGTATGAATACCTTTCAGTAGTGTCCTCTACGCACCTGGGCGAGAAATATTCTCTCAGGGCTGTGATTCAGTTACGAACAAGATTGGGATAGGTTGTCAGCTTGTAGAAGTTTTACTCGATGTTTTAGTCGAAAAACCAGTCGACAGAGATTTTACAGCCGAAGGAAATTCTAACAAAAACTCATCACCACCAGTATACGATTCAAGAATGAAGCTAGGTCTGTCTGGGAGTCTTATTTAATCGACAGATATCTCTAAAACGCCTTGTATATTTACGCAGAACTATTTCTCTGTCGATGCTACACCTGCGACCCACCTCGACACTCATCGCACGCCCTAATGAGGAAAGTAATGATGGAAATGGGACGTATACAAAGGAGGAAAAAAGGGATTAGTCTCCGAGGAGATCACACTCTTGCGCGGGGGTTTAGATTCCCAAAGACGACAAAAACCCAACGGTACGATATGAATGAGCAAGGCTAGAGCACCGATGAGATCTGGGACTAGATTTGTATTTCGGAGTCAATGAGGATGTCAAGGGCTCGGGCGCGTGGTGGCCGAGGCTGAGGAGGAACTTGTGCTACAGCGTACATACAGCGGGTTTCTGGACGGTCAGGCTTGGCATGATTCAACACATGGGTGAAGTCTGAGGTGGCCCGGTCATTTAGATGGGACGAGGTTTATCTGTGCTTCGCGGTAGTTAATCTGATCCGGCCCGGCCCCACTCGTGCTCAAGCTCCCATGGGAATGCGGAGGGCGCCAATTGCCTACCACATTAATAAACATATACATATGATTAGACGCCCAGCGTAAAAAACCGCCAGAGCTTGTCCTGTAGCAGCTCGAACATGAGACGGAGAACTTGCGGCTCACCATCGCCGCTTCAATTACACCACAGCTGTACTTCATTATGAGTGCGGCAGAGAAAACGCAATCATTCATCATATCCAGTATACAAAAGCACTGGCGACATGGCGAGTCAAAACGAGAGCCGGAGAGCACCGGTACTGGAAGCCCTGATCGGATCAAGCCATGATGAAAGTTATGTTGGTGTTGTACTACTGCACTATGCGTGCGTCAGGCATCAACATGTTTTAGGCAAATATTTAAGGGTGGATTTAGCACGTGATATAGTTCCAATGTACGTAGTGCTGAGTAGTCTTCTTGGTTTTGTATCAGATTTTAATTGCGGATGCAGCTATCTTGCTATGTCATTATATTTCTCTATTTTTTTAAATTCATTTTATTGCCCTTTCTGAGTCCATGACTATGCAGGACATGCAGGACCTCTCTGCCTACGGGCCAAGTATACCTATACCAGTAGTACATCCCCTCCTATGCCTCCCATACAGCTCCCCTCAAACAGTACCACCCCTCACAAGTCCTCATTTGATCATACACTAAGAGGATCCCTTTGCCCTTCATTATCTCCCCTCTCCAGCCAACGAAACGATGGCCATTTGCGGGTGTATGGCGGCCGAGAAAAATTGCAGAAACCTCTGGATACGGGGCTCTTGTAATATCAATTTTAGGACTAAATCTGAAGATCTAGTGATCCTTCTGAAGCGTTCGAAGAGGCCGGCCAGCTGGGCGCTGCAGACTTGTGTGTACCTCGGAGAATTCACTCCCTGTCTTTCTAGCCTCCCTCCCGAAGATCGTGCTGAAATGTCAGAAAAGTCTTGACAGAGCGTGATTGCTGTATAACACCTTAGCCCAACTTCTTTTGTACCGTCCAGGGCGCTAGGGAGTGCCGTTGACTCATCGACATTTGGAGTCGCCCAAGCTAATCAGCTGAAACCTTGGTCTTGACGCCTAGTCTAGGCAAGCCTGATTTTATATTTAAAATCTACATTTTACGATGACTACCTGTCCCTAAATTATAGTTTGTTTGATTTCATTATCTTGATTTGGCGCCCCATGGGCTCGTGCAGATGTCTACAATCTGTAAAATTTACAAAGGAGGAATCCTTTATGGTGAAAACCCCCCACACCTTTCTACTTGTTGTCTTTAGTTTTCACATATTTTCTTCAGGAAGCGCAGTTTCACTATGGTGCCATCTGTGTGAACCTACCAGATTATCTCTGACTGCTCCAAGCATTACTTGATCTGTTCCTTTCCCTCGGCAGCATTTCGACCGCCTTTGTCATCTGGAATTGCTCTATCCAATTATGATTTAGGATTCGCTGTGTTATCGTTTTGATGTCTTCAGGATTGCTTATCATCGCTTCGTAGGACTGATCTTTGGCTTGTCTCCAGATCTCTCCTTTTCCATTTGACCATCGAGGGCAGGACATCAACATGTGCTTGGGGTTCTGCGATTGGTAGCCACATGGACAGCTTAGATTGTAGACCTGGGGCACTTTTTTTCTATATAAATAAAATTGAGCCCCATGTGCTCACTCCTTGTTTGCATCGCTAAACTGCTTTGGGCCTAAATTATTGTTGTGATTTTGCCACATTCAAAGTAGAACTGCTCCGACCGATGAGAGGAAATTACCCTGCGTTGATGACCAACCACGGCGTAATGAGGCTTAGCGCTAATAGTTGTAGCCTATGGGTGCCTCAGACACTAAATAAGATATGTAAATTTGGTGGAGTGGCTCAACGAAAGCGTGACCACGCGTGATCTTCATTTATCGCAGACTCTTTATAACAACTCGTTGCACGCGATTGCGCTGGTTCATATCCCTCTTTTACAACGCAAAGCTTATCAAACTACGCTTATAAGTTACATATTCGAGTGTATCTGTTTGAAGGTGATATATCAATGACAGGTCCTAGTAGTAGAGCGTCGGTTTCCACAGGCATGAAATTATGGCCTAGTTGGCGAAAATGTGGTAGACTCAGTCGCACCTATACAATCTCTACCATCTCAGAGTCCAAAGGAGTAAAGGGCACCCCACCGCCAAATATTCCAAAATATCCCTCGAGCCAACCCCCTTCCCACAAACCTCCTGAGTTCCGAAAATCACAGTTATTGCGCCAATACGCTTCTCTACTGCGCTCTGCCCCCATGATGCTTCTGTTCCAGCACAACAATCTCAAAGCTGGTGAATGGCTTGCTCTACGCCGCGAGCTTACAAAGGCCTTTAGGAAGACGGACCAGTCATTACTTGCTGCCGAAAACACATCACAGCATGCCTTGGCAGATAGCATTAAAATCCAGACGGTCCAAGGCGGGATTTTTGGTGCAGCATTGCGGGTGGTGGAGTATTATCGTCCAAACCCTTCGGCTCCACTAGCTTTTGGCTCGTCAACTCCTTCTTCATCCGAGTCACGCATATGCCAAAAAAGTGATGAATTCACGCATGTCCTCTCTAAAGCTGCACATGAGGCTGCTTCCCGTAAAATGACTACTCACGGACTAACGCCTCTCTTATCTGGACCTCTCTGTATTCTATCCTTCCCGGCTGTCTCGCCGGAGCATCTCAAGCAGGCTATTTCGATTCTCCACCCGAGTCCACCAAACTTCCCCGCGCCCAGGAGAAGGGAAAATCCTGGGTGGCACGATCCTGCTGTGCAAGCTGGTGTCCAAAAACTAGTACTACTTGGCGGGCGTATCGAAAATCGGGTTCTTGACATCGAAGGTACGAAGACGGTGGGTGGCATCATTGGTGGATTGGACGGTTTGCGTGGTCAACTAGTGTCAACACTACAGTGCGCCGGAGTTAGCGTCGCTAGCACTCTAGAAAATACTGGAAAGAGCATCTACTTTACCTTGGAGGGAAGACGAAATATACTAGAGGACGAGGCAAAGACCGCCTCGGGGGATGAATCAAGCTCGAAAATCAATTAGACATTAATGAATGAGGGAGTTTTACCTGGTCGTAGATCGTAAAGACATACTCATTTGCCATGATGATCATAGAGGTAAGTGGTGAAAATTTTGTCGAATTAAAAAAGACCCTCCCACTGAGATTAGACTTAGACGGGATCAGGCGCATGAAAGGAGACATGCCGTGTAAAGAGGAATGAATTTTCAGGTAGGTAAACTAAAAGAAAATGTATCAAAATCGTAATTAATTACAACCCGAGTATCCTATCTGCTAATCGTTCGTGTCTGGACCTCTTTTAATGTTCGCGAATTTCATCATCCAAAACATGCGCCCACCTAATAGATAATATATTTCTAGGACAGTCTCTGGTTATACTTACTTCTAGTGTCATGACTATCTAAAGTAGCCGGCTAATTGAGATAAGCCGTGCTTGGTTATTCTTTACAGAAGATTTGAGGCTCACGTTACCTTGGACGGACGGAATGGAATAGAATGGAATGAGTTGCCTATAGGCGTGCTAGGCAACTTGCTCCTCTGAATCCCTGATGACGCTTGAGCACGAGTGGGACCGTGCCGGATTAGGTTGACTGTATTGAAAGTACACAGTTGGCCTCATCTCTCCTGTATGACCGGAACCCATACCGATGCGCGTAGACGTATTGAATCAAGACGAGTCCAGCGTCCCACAAAAAAGAGAAAACAAATCCCCCTTCCGCACAAGTTTGCCTTTTCATCTCCCTATAGAAGCCTGTGGCCCAAGATCCATTGTCTTGGACGGTAGGTTTTGAGAATCCTTAAACTTTCGATCGACATTAACTTTTAGCCGCCGGACGTCCTTCATAGTCATAGACTCAGTAGGGACTTCAATTTATTTCTATTCTATTTTAGTCACCGGAATCAGTGATCGGGACGGGAGAGTCCATAGCAAGACCTAGGATCTAAATGGAGGTGAGGTGGCCCTGACATCCCTCACGCCTGGGGTCGGAGGTCGTTATGACGATTCCAGCTCGGCCTCATAACGTAGACCGGGCTAATCACGTAGACGGCGTAACTATGGCGCGTTTTCCTGGCTCGAAGATTCAAAAGTTCTTCATCTTAGAATCACGCGATCGAGGACTAGCCCCGCTGTCAACAGAAGTACTCCAATGCCATATCCACATATAAATTTAAGAGCTGAACGTGTTCGAGACTCAGCATGACCGGCATGCAAGTTGGACAAACCTCCGGTCCATGGACTACTTGTCCTGATCTAGTGCAGCAATGTTTGTCTTGAAGGGCGTATCTAAGCTTGCAAAGGGCAAGACCCTCAAAGTCCATTGAAAAATATTGAAATGAAACCCCCCTGTAAAAACAAATGTCCCATAGCTTTCAGCCGTCCCTCATAGTCAGACTCAGTAGGCAATTCAATTTGATTCTACTCTAAATTTACAACGTTAGGCGTCATGGCCAGGATCCTGTGCATGCCTAGAGGCCGATCCTATTGGGAAAATTAAGAGCCTCGACCACTGAGCTGTTGATCTCATAGCGCTGACCTGACCCGCCACGGCATGGGAATCCGAGTATGGCGAAAAGCCGAGAAGATTCAGCCAAGTCGCAGATTGCAGAGTGTGTATCTGATGATGATGCAAAGAAGTGGTCACCATGATGGGTCAGGACATGATATTTTGTAACGCACGGCTTGTGGCAAGCATGAACTCAGGCCCTTGAGGGTAGTCCATCTAAAAAAGCCACGCTTTGTCTATGTTCAGCAAATATTGCGCGTGCAAGATTAAGCGGGTAGCAATAAGTGATCAGTGATTTGTAAGGCTAGACCTCCGTGGCTTTCCTGATCCAACTCCACATCTGTATACTAAATCCCTGAACACTTCACAAAAAGAGTTGGAGGTTTAATCATTCAATACATATTCAGCCATGGGTCTATGATACATGATTAGTATCTTGAATACATGTAGGATGATTTCTTTAGCTTCACACCTAAATTCTGGATTTCATTTGCGAATATTGCTATAAGATCTGTTGGTTCACACAGAATAGTTGACTCTAGTCCTTGAGTACCCTTCAAAGGAAATTTCCGGAACCCTTGATTACCAATAAATGTCTTCGTCACCCATCCATGCATACCAGCACCGCTAGAAATGTGGTTGAGTTCTGCCGGATTCGAGCTAGCGGTATCCTGTCTTGAGTGGAATATATAACCAAGCCAGTCATAATCTGCTTGGCAACCTGAGGATATAAATTATGTAAATAATGCTTGCTTATTTTTATTTTTAGGTCCTAAGTTATACCCGCTATCCCCTTATGGTCGAAGACTGGGGTTCACAACTAAGGTCATGTCTGTGACACACCCAACTTGTTCCCACAACCTGAACTGCTACAAAAATAGTTGCTAGTTGAATCCGAAAACCAAGACACATAGAAAAAAGAATATGAAAACAGAAGATTCTTTCAAGTAGGACCCAGACAATGTATTCTTCACACATTCTCTCGTCCATCACATCTCCTAGATCACAATATTACTCAACCTCCGCTGAGAGCTAGAGATGAGTGGCCGGGTTTTCTCCTTAATCGTTGGTCCCTCTTCAAAATATGTTGAAGTCATTAACTACTTCTTCCAGGTGCGCCTCACACCTCACACCTCACATCTGTACCTTGGGGTACAAGGCCTCAAAGCCTAGTCCCCCCGACATCATCGTATATTCCGAGGCAGGTTGACTTCCTGCCTCGGCCTTCGTTTCAGATACTGCAGCGAACTTTCGTTGGCTGACCTGTCCAATGAAAAACAGTTTCTTCTTGGTTATCGGGCCAGCTCGCATCGGTCGAGCCACGGGTAGCGTGGTGGCCGAGGCATCGGTAACACTGCTCAATTTAGCGACGAGACTGGAGCTTTGTAGCCATTCCAGACTCGTCAAAAAGGCGTAAGCCCGCTCGAGGTACAAACTCCAGAGGAAAAAGATACTGCCGGTTGCGAGTTGGCGCACTGGGACGGCATATCCCGTGAGGTCGCACTTGCAACAGCTCTTCTGGAGTCACTCTAGTGATCTCATCAGAGATCCACTCTGCGTCGACCATTTCAGTGTCCTTCGGCGTGTTAAGCTTCAATTGCACATTAGCTATCCTGAAGGCGACAAAGTTCGAAGGTGGCTCGATCTTGGCGTTGACACTCGCCAATTTCGATGAGACATCTAGGAGGCCTTTTCTTTGTTCATCAATTTCTACCAAAATGACAAAACCTGACTTAACTCGGTGTATCGAGCTTTCAGTAATGGAAACGCATGTGGTATATTCCAACGATGCGAATAAGATACCAGCGGGGGAAATTTCCCGCCACGGCTGGTTGCTGTCAAGTCGAAGGAACAATCGTTTGTCCATTTTTCCCTTGACAGGCTCTTTCTTTGGAGCTGTAGCCGTAGATTGCGGTACAGTTTTCACTGAGGGGACCGATTTTTGTCCCAGCCCGTTTTTGACCACCGTTACCCATGCGCCTTTTGAAGGCTATGCTATTGGAAACGTAGACGCAGAGTGTTGTGGACATACGAGCCCTCCATTTCGTCTAGGTTCCCGACACGATCTTGTGTGTATGTAAGAGGCTGGAATAGGTAATATGGTAGCGCTTCAGGCTACCTATTGGACATATGAGCGGCTGTATGGCGTGGGCGCAAGGAGGTTATTGGGGGTTTTCTATGCCTAGATGGCGCCACACTCGTTCATGCTGTGGCTTAGGCTCTGTGTCGCTTACACTTGTACTTGTAGCGCACACTTCTCACACTTTTAGCCGTAATCCGAACATGACACTCTTTTAGTCAACTTCTACTTTCGTTCCATAAATTTTGCGCCCATTTCATTGCGCGATATTCCCAACATGTACTGGGGCGGTGGGTATTATTTTGCTCCTGACGTCTGGAGCTCTCGGACGAGGGTTCGCTGGGCGAGGAGGAAGGACGGGTGACGTAGAGGCCGGGCCCAAGGCCATGAATTGTGCAATGGCGGCGCGTAAGCAGTCTGTTTTCGTGACAGCTTTTGGCTGCGAAGTTGGTATTGGTACTAATTTTTGTGCAGCGTTATCTGACGGTTCTGACATGGTCGGAGGAGATTGGGAAGACCCTCCTATCCCGTGGACGATGAAGGTTGGTGGAGGAATTTCCTCAACAATTTCGACTGACCCGATCATATCAGTATCAGGCGCAGAGACGGCGGGAAGGGCTTTTCCTTCCCTTTGCTTGAGGCCTTGCCCATCTCCATGCACCTTGGGACTGGGCAGGGCTTGTTGTTTGATCGAGGGCCCTCGGGTGGACTCTCATGTTGTCCAACATTGCGCTGAGACTCTTTTTTCGAACAGACGGCATGATAAGAATGCTGGATGCTCGATCCCAATTTTTCGAATGTATGCGACGAGCGCGAGAGGGTAAAATGGGATTTTTCAAAAATTTTCAGGAGTGCTGGCACCGGTCATGTTTTATAGCTAGATAGCAGAATACACAATGAATAAATCAAAATCTACTTGTCAAGCCGGTCAAGGCGATATCTGGAGTGTCGTCTGCACTCACGCAATCGAAGGCTTGGTGCGCACTTTTTTTTGATCATTTACGTGCTAGGTACATGTAACCCATTGCACTCCTACTGGAGCTTAAGCATAGGTGGGGCCGGGCCGGATCAGGTTAAATACCGTGAAGCACAGATAAACCTCGTCCCATCTAAATTACCGGGCCACCTCAGACTTCACCTATGTGATGAATCATGCCAAGCCTGACCGTCCAGAAACCCGCTGTATGTACGCTGTAGCACAAATTCCTTCTCAGCCTCGGCCACCACGCGCCCGAGCCCTTGACATCCTCATTGACTTCGAAATAAAAATTTAGTCCCAGATCTCTTCGTTACTCTAGCCTTACACCTTCGTATCGTTTCGTTGGGTTATTGTCGTCATTTGGGATTTTTGTAATCCCCTCGGTGTATCTTCCCTTTTCATCCTCCTTTGTACACGTCCCGTTTTCACCATGACTTTCCTCATTAGGGCATGTGTAGGTAGGTGATGTGACTAGTTTGGAGTTGGGTCGCAGGTGTAGGGTCGACAGAGAAATGGTTCTTCGTAAATATACAAGGCGTCTTAGAGATATCTGTGGATTGAAATCGACTCCCAGACAGACCTAGCTTCATTCTTGAATCGTAGACTGGTGGTGATGAGTTTTTGTCGGAATTTCTTTCGGCCGTAAAATCTCTGTCGACTGGTTTTTCGACTAAAACATCGAGTAAAACTCCTACAAGCTGACAACCTATCCCACTCTTGTTCGTGACTGAATCACAGCCCTGAGAGAATATTTCTCCCCCAGGTTCGTAGAGGGCACCACTGACAGGTGTTCAGCCTTCGTCCTCATTGGTGCGCACTTTGCTCTCCAGATTGTAGAGCTCCCTACCAAAATACGAAATCCCGTCCCTTTCGAGTTTGTATCCACCGTTTGCGTTATCTTATTCCTCTAGCCTGATCTCTCCTACTTCTAGCTCCAAGATCTGCCTCCCAGATTTGTGGGCCACGATTTGTGATCTCCAATGAGTGTAAATATCGTCGTGGCCGTATACTTGGAGGCTGCTCAAGGCCAGAAACTGATTTGATGAGAGGTGTGTTCATAGAAGTGAGGATATACTAGGTCGTACTTGATGAGGCCTTGGTTGGAAACAATCTTTTTAGGAGTCAGGGATTGATTTAGTGCAGAGTCTTGGATCATTCCCACGGGCCAACTTCTTTAGTTGTAAAATTTGACAAAGCTTGACTAAGAAAATATTTAACACCCAGGTTCGTAACAATAATAATAATTCATTTGTGTCCTATTTGAGTTTCCCCCAGGTTCGTAGGAACGCCTCGAATATGTGTTTAGTCCTTGTCCGCCGCCTAGCGCCTTCAATTCTTATCTGTACAGTTAAACCAGAACTTGTAAAAGGCATGGATACTCACACGCTTCTCGCTGTTACCCACGTTAGTGAGGAGCCGAAGTGGTACAAACTCCTATCCCCAGAAATCAATGCTATGCAAGCAACAGATTTGTAAGGCAAGATACTGTTACTTGCACTTCGTGTAAATTTAAAGGCGTAGTTAATAAATAGACATGAATGTAAAAAAATTGGAAAGATTACTCGTGCTTTCTAAAAGTAAGCGACTAATTCTATCGTTTATCAAATGCTCTGAAATATGCCAGGGACCCGAAATCTTGTAAGACTTTTGGCTACAAAATGCGGCGAGAATTGTTACCCGTGCCCTCGCCACGCGTTTTTTGGCCTTTATGGTATTTCAATGTAGGGATGGTGATTTTAAGTATTACTATCACTTGGTGTAGTCTGGCGTCAAGCATGTTTCTCAGTATCTATCAAATCCCCACCTTCGAGTAAAGCTCAACACTTTTGTCTGCTTCGCCGTTCTATCTCTACACCATCTTAAGTAGCCCTTGACGGTTTTCCCCTGAACACATGTATGTCAGTTGTACGGGCTCTATGCAATCTCCAACAGAAAATCAAACAAGTATCAAAAGGTAACTACTAGGGCGTTGAGCGGATACAAAAAAGTTTGTGGAAAATAATTACAAGACGAGAATACTGAACGAATGAAGTTGCACTGGAGGGAAATATGACCACCAGTTTAGTCTCTAGTAATCTCAGGAAGGCGTGAACGTAGATTAATGCGCTTAATTTGTCTAGTAAAAGATTTGTATTTAATTAAGGCTGACTGTGAGTTCTTGATACTAATGTACCCATTCGTGGGCGAGCTAGTACTGTAGGAATCACAGGTCAGGAGCTAAGTATACCGTTGCAGAGTATAAGAGCTTAGTTGCAAAGAGTGGCGCACCTATACCCTGTATGATAATGCCCATAGTTTTTAAACGTTCCTTGTGTAGGAAAGTTTTGGGGTTAACAAGGACCGTTATTGAAAGCCATTGTGATCTAAGATGAGATTACTCTGGTTTTCTGTAGTCCCGAGCTTAGATATTGTAAGAATAAAATGTTATCGGGTAGAGTTGGCAGACCGTGTTTATATTCCAAGCAATATTCGGTTACTTTTGGAAATTTTGGAAATTTACTACACCATGCTACCTCAGAGGATGAAGGCTTTTTATTTCTGTCCAAATGGAGCAAGTCCCATGTATCTTCAGGGTCACTTGCCACCATACATCGTCGATCTGGTTACTGTGCTCCCGTCCAGGTTGCGAATTTCCTGGAATATGGCCAAGTTGAGGATTGATAAGTAACGTGTAGCTGATAGCTTGGTCATTTATTTTCTGAATACGCTGGACTATTGGTACATGAAAATGGTAGGATATATTACTCCGAAGTCCTCCTGTTTGACTGACCTTTGTGTATTCGAGCGGGCTAGAAGGATATGTCGCAGCCCTCTCCTTCCACAAATCCATATAAGTGTACATGAACTAAATTATTCACGTTAAAGAATGCGCACCCCCAACTATCCATATCGCAGTGTATCATTTGCATATTCGTGGAATTTCAGCCTAAAGGGAAGATAACAACTGCCAATAAACCCTACGCAATGATGTTAATAACATCAACCTTTTCTGAACGCCAATAAGAAATTAATCATATAATCAAGGCCCGATTTACTTCGATGTAGGAGCAGACCATGATCGTGATGCTAAATCGCATAATCTTCGAATTACATTAGTCGTACCCGCACCAGCTGCCTCATCAGATACGAATTTTTTAGCTACTAGAAGTTTGCTCTTGTTATCACTCTCATCAAGATGAAGAGGCGTGTCAGTATCTGTATACACTGAAACTCTCTGTCCCAGTCCACGAGCGACAGCAATGGAGTATAATACGTCCCTATTCTCTCGGCCATCAAGTAGATTTCGGAGTGCAGCCAACGTCTCATCAACGTCTTTAGCAGCTGCTGCATTTTCATATGGCAGAGTTACAAAATTTCCCATTGTGTACCAGAATTCAAGTTCTCGAAGTCGATGGTGATCAGTGCTTCCTGGGACAGGTGCTGTGAGGGAGTTTTGGGCCGCGACTCTTCCGGTCAAAAGGATTTCAAAAATGTCCAAACGATTACTAGCTTCAACCGGGTCATCAGTAGCTGGTACTGTCTTTATTTCTTTCATACCACCGATTTCTGCTGCTGTCGATCGAACCATACCGGCCAGGGCCCAGACAACCCTGGCCTCAACGCTTGATGTATACTGAATCTCCTTTGGGTCATTCTGATTAGTCTTTGCGAACTGCTGAATAAGTGCGGAGAACTGGTCCAGAAGATGTTTGCTTTCCAGAAGCTTAGCAAGGCCCTTACCGGAAAACCATTTCGTCTCGAGAAAGTTTTCTAGCCCAGGAATGTAGATGCTGTAGAATAGGTGCTTAATTTCATCTAATGAGGTATGAGAATTCGCAAAGTCAGCAGATGCTCGTGGAGGTGTTGGCCCGCCCATGGATAATAATTCTTCGATAGTTCGCTTTGCTAGAGGCGGTGTTAGTCGTGGCATCGCAACAAGATGGAGGATGACAAGCCTATCCAATTACATGCGTAAGCTGGTGCGGGAAATTGCGTACCTGGAATGGTTGTCGTATATATTCCAGTCGAGGTTACGGATGGGCCTACTCCCTCAAGAGCAGGATCAATGGCTGAGGTATAGTCAAACCCTTGACCTGATACCGGTGAGCCACCAGACAGAGGCGTATCGAATGTCATACTTGTTACACCGTATCCACCGCCTAGGATATGTGGTTGATTCCCGTATGGATTGGAAGATACAGCTATGCCGCTGATAGAGGGCGCAGTGCTTGGTGCAGGCTGGATTGCGGCTGGGCCTGGTTGTTGTTTGAATATCGGGTCGTAACCTAAGCACTCTCGCTTTGACTTTTGACAGTTGCGACAGGCTGGATGTTGTTCATCGCACTGAATTGTTAAGTGGTCAGCAAAATATTTGCTTTATCAACGTTTACCGAGACCAAGATAGCAGGATTTTCAATAGACGAATGAAGGGTAGAGAATTCTCGCTCATGTGCTTTCGCCTACTTAGGTAGATTCGCTTGCTATAAACGAAAGAGACCTTTGCGAAGAAATTCATTTTCATCATTTTATTTTTCATCTCTCATCGATCCACGGTTTACAAAAAAAAAGAAAGATATGAACAGACCTTGATGCGACGTTTTCTACATGTTAGACATCCCGTTTTGGTTCGTCGCTTGATTTCCTATTCCACGAGGTATGTTAGAAAAATTATGAGACGATCATTTTCTTATCGTACCTTTTTATGCCGACCACCGCTAACTTGTCGCGATTCATTTGCAGGTAGAGCGAAGCGCACATTTTGACCAGTGGGATCAGACGTAACATTAGGATACTGAGGGAGGCCTTGGGGGGATGGCTGATAGTATGGTCCACCAGCCATTTGTGCGACTGGAGGAGGCAAGTTTGTTGTCATTTGTTGCTGCTGCTGCTGCTGTAATGGGTCGAGCGAACGCATACTTGGAAGTGAGAGGGAGCCACTACTATCCGTGGGACTACCGCGATATGATTCTGGGCCTGACTGGTTTGGAGGGGGATAGCTGTAGTGAGCCAAAGAAGGTGAGTCGCCGTATGTAGGACTGGGATAATTAATGGCTTCTTGGCAAAATTGACTACCTTTTTGCTGAACATTCGACATTGATGGAGATAGACGTGGGCTGTTGGAATGATTATGCTGGTGCTCAGCCATCTGAGGATGAGCCAGCTGGGGTCTCACTCAAATCCAACCGCGCGGAAGGGCGGGGGCCTCCCCTGCCTCAGAGAATCAGAGCTTGACAGGAGCGAGTATGGGAAGGGTAGGGAATGCAAAGTCGGATCAGTAATCGGAGTTGAGGCTCGGCCTAGATAGCTTTGTTGACTCGCTTGATGATAGACTTAAACGAGCCTCGCAATTCTGCAATGCAAATGGCACCGGATGATCTGTAAATTGGAAGGGGGGTGCTGAGTGGGCTGGTGCGGTCCTTGGGCGACACAAGTTCAAAAATTACAAGCCTTACGTGATCGGGCCTAGTTTGAAGCACATGGGTTGAGGGGTTGGCCTTCAAGTCAATAATGTCATGGTAAATGTATGCATTTGAAGCAAATTAGTGACCTCCAATTAAATCGCCAAAATTTCCTGCGACAGACGCGATTAGAATCTAGCTTAGCCGATAATTTTGCTGTGTGGTCCATATCCCCATGAGTTGCACCTCAGGTACGAGATTAGCAAGCGATATGAACTAGCGGATGCCATCATCGGTCCGAGTCTGCTTGCTCAGCGTTCCCATGTGCAAGATCTGGGTGCGAAAGGGCGGTATGCATCAGATAGCAAGCATGATACGTTTGGATTGGTGTTTTCCGTGCCATTTGTGTGTGTTTGTGTTTATTGTGCTACTTGAGTCTATGACTATCTAGCACATTGGGCTCCTCTCTGACCCAGGCCACACCTTGTACAGTGCTCCTATCCTCTTTTGTTACTTGAAAGATCATTGATATATTCCCCTTGATGAATAGCCATTCAGCTCAGTGTTTACCCGTGGAATTCAGCCACCTTTTCCACGGAACCTTCTACCCAAAAAAATGAAAATGGCAGCAATGGAAATTGCGTGCGCGGGAAAAAGTCTCAAAAAACCTGCAGCCCCAGCCAGGCGAGGCCTAGACACCGGGACCACATGAGGTGCGCATATTCATCTACATCTCCCTTTTTTGCAACAGTCGAGGTCGACTTGATCCAATCCACCATCTCCGTATCGGGTGCTGGGTACGCTCCGGAAACTCATCGGATGGCTTTTCCTCCGTGATCAAGGTTTGGTGATGAGTAGAGCTCCGACCCTACCATCTGATCTGATCGTGGTTAGCTTCATGATAATGGTGATAGGGGAATGTGTAGAGAGATGAAGACGAAACAGACCGCGAAAGCGATTGGGAATCCTCTTCGAAGTGAGGACTTTGGTGCTACTCAATCTCAATTCTGCAGACTCTGCAGTGAGAGCTGGAGGTTCGTAGGGGACACCACTGACAGTTGTTGAGCCTGCGCCCCCTCGTGAAAGATATTAGAAGGCGACTACTACCTTCTCCTGAGATGTCGTGCCAGAGAATAAAGTTCCTTTTTTTAAGATTCAAACTGTACACAACCATCTAACAATGACAGGGGGACTATTCTCAACACCTGTCAGTGGTGTCCCCTACGAACCTCCAGCTCTCACTGTAGAGTCTGCAGAGCTGAGATTGAGTAACACCTTTTCAACTTTGAGCTGAGTTGTCTCCCCCTCCGTTAAATATACGCTTCCGATAACACATAAGACGACAAAGACGACGATAATGATGCTGGGAATGAGGAGAGATAATGCGGTACCAAACGCTACAACGGTAGTCAGAGAAGCCCTCGTTATATCACAACATGTGCTACCCACCGGCGGGCGAACAAAAAGCCTACGAAAGCAAAGTAAAAGACCCTTCCGCCCTCAAGAAAAGCAGATTTCGACTCATCAAAAATATCGTCCCTACTAATCTATACCTCCGAATCTACTAGCCAGGAGGGCATCTGGAATACATGAGTTACTCGACAACCCCACGTCCGTAACGACTTTTGGATGCTAGGCTAGGCTCCTTCACGACAGTCACCCTCGACCAAGACTTTTCTGACATCCTTTCACGACCTTCAGTTTGTCCTGCAGCATGAATCAGGGGAGGAGTAGGGAGGAGGCTAGGAAGGTTGAGAGACACTCTTAGGTATACACAGGTCTGCTGCGCCCGGCTGGCCGGCTTCTTCGTCACAGGAGAGCCTCGCACCCAGTGGTCTTTGAGACTTTTCCCGGCAGCTATACACCTGCTAATATCCATAGTTTTGTTGGCTGGAGGGGGCAGATATTGATGGAATGACGGCTCCTCTTAGTGTGTACTAGAATGAAGACCTGTGGGGGTATTACTGCTGGAAAGAAGTCGTGAGGGAGGCAAAGAAGGGAGTACACTACCCAAGGCATAGATACTCCCGGCCTGTAGGCAGAAAGGACCTACATGTCCTTACATAGTTATAGACTTTTTAGGACAATAAACACTCACTCACTCATCTAACAATGACAATTTAATGCAAGTCGTGTAATAATTAAATCTGGATTCCTACTTTTAGATAATTAGCCTCTTGCCTTACAAAGTAAGTAACACGACCCTTCCGAAGGTCGGAACGGATGCGACTCTCTCCATGAACCTAAAAAGATGGTATATTCGTGGCAATATCAAATTTGCCACAAATGAAAAGGCCGTGCAGAATCATTCTTCGTGCTTATCTAAATTTGAGTATACGATCAGCGTAGAAAAAATTATCACCCTGCAAATTACTAAATATGGATTTATCGAAGCGAAGACAAATGTAGAGGCCGTGCAGTATAATTTGGATAGAGACCCAATGTTAAATAATGCAAAATTTCTGCACTCTTCTAGCCACAAGGTTTAAATCCTGGTATAAGTATATGACCTCCAACTCAAATGATTATTGTAGCGGGCTGCCCATGTTAGTTGTCGTCACTTGTACTGTCGCGGCGAAATCTCTTTACCTGGCTCGTACTAACTCTATCTTCATTTTTACGATTAAACTCTAGACACAGATTTGAAGTCCTCCCGCATCAGATATACTGAAAAAACCACAAATAACAACGTATAGGGTTACAGTGCAAGACCCTCAAAATCCATCACGATGCATTGAACAAATTACATCGACATACTGACAAAAAATCAAAGGTTAATCATTTGGATTTTAGCTGTCTTTCATAATCTTAGGCTTAGTTGAGACTGCAACTAAGTCCTAATCCAAATAACTTATCGCGTTTGATAACATATTTTTGAAATTTTTTGTTAGACTTGAAATAGACAGAGATCAATCCTTCCTCGAACGTTTCACATAAAAGTGATCAAGGGTATATAATTGTTTATTGGCCATCCATCGTGTACCGGTCACGTATTTTTTGCTTTTTACTGGCGAAGGAAACCAAGGTCAAATGCTCAGGCGCATAATGGCCTAGACTGAGGAGGGAATTTGTGCTTCGGCGCGTCAAATTTGCGTTCTCTCGACGGTTGGACTTGACATGTTTATGATAGAACGCAGAATAATTAGGGCTATCAAGTAGGCCACGTCGTTGAAACACAAGTGACTACGAATTCTCTACTTAGTTCCACTTCAGTAGTCACTAGAATCATTGCGCTCTACAAACTCAATGACTGAGGGGTCATTATTTCCTTAAAAGTTTAAAGAATTGGTATAGTGTGAGGCGGCCCGATTATTATTATTTCATTTTATTGTCCTTTCTGAGTCCATGACTATGTAGTGACTTATGTATTAAATGGTAGTTGACCTGGATCCAGCCCAGTGTAACTCGCGCTGAGGATCCCATACCAGTGCGGAGTGTGCCAATTGCCTAGCACGTCAATTTACAAACAAACAGAATAAGAAAACCATAGGATCAACGATGAACTTGCAGGAAGAGTGCAAGCCACCTACGCTTCTTTCAAGCTGTGGGAGACTTTGACTGTATGGCCTGGACTACCTGGCCAGACCCACGAAAAACTTATTTGTTTGCAAAGAGCAGCTCGCAGTGATTCCCGGAGTCGAGAAATGGAAATTTGCGGCTGTAGCCAAACAAATAGAAGAGGCTACTAGCGCCTTGTCGAATGGTGTTCCAATGGCAGAGTGATAGGCGTTCATAGTTTTGAATACCTAGGATAAAGTTTGAGGGTGCAGCAACTAGTGGCTGAGTTTTCGATGACTTCATTAACATGGAGCAGGTAACTGGCTGAGAATAATGATTGTGTACAACTGTTGAGTTTATCGCGCAATCCAAAGGATGCAATAGCCCTGGAACGAGTGAGGAAGTTGGTTGATAGAACGCCCTGTTCAGATTGCTACTAAAAGGATGGGGGAGTGCAGGCGACACTATAAACAACGCCATGGTTGGATGATGTAGTGGTACGTCATCTGGGCCGGTCTCCCAAGTAAGGTCAGGATAGTTTAGACACACATCACGCTCGAGACAGGAGATTGCTTGTTCGAATCCGGCAATAAAATCAATAAATTATTCCATTGTCCTGATTTGGCGCCTCGAGGCCCATGCAGTTTTAATGGAAGATATGTACTTTAAGTAGGTTGACTCAATTTAAAGTTTAGAACACTTACACTCAAATTTTATTTGCAGATACCACTCGAGGTTAGCCCTTACGGCGTATAACCTCTTCCGTGCATACCTGCCACAGGGAAAAGCGTGAAAACCCTAGGGTTATCCGAGTGTGCTTTCATCGTTCCATAAATATAATGTCACCGCGAGAGAAAATGGTATGTGGATTTAACTGGATTAGAACCAGCTTTTACCTGTCTCAAATGGGGTAGGTGTTTAAGTTACCCAGAATTTACTTGGGAGTGGACCAGAAAGAAGTCCAATGTGCTAGATAGTCTGAGACTCAAGCAGTACAATGAACATACCTCTCTCTCTCTTCACTTGGGAGAACGGCCCAAACAGTGTACCACTACAACATCAAACCCCAAATTCCTGCATAAATAATCAAATTTCTTGCGATGCAAGCTTATATGAATGACGAAGGCATACTTGAATTATCAAAGGTTTTGAGTTTCTCTTTGGGGGGGACTTACAGAGGAGGGTCGACTGTCTATGTAAGCGAACATACCTCATAGTGGTGATGTGATATATTATTGTAAAACATGAGTCATAGTGTATCCAGCACATTGGGCTCCTCTCTGACCCAGACCACACCTTGTAAAGTGCTCCTTGCCTCTCATGTTACTCAAAAATCGTTCATACATTCCCCTTGATGAATAGCCATTCAGCTCAGTATTTACCCGTGGAATTCAGCCACCTTTTCCACGGAACCTTCTACCCAAAAAAATAAAAAAAATGGTATCAATGGAAACTGCGTGCGCGGGAAAAAGTCTCAAAAAACCTGCAGCCCCAGCCAGGCGAGGCCTAGACACCGGGACCACCTGAGGTGTGAATATTCATCTATATCTCCCTTCTTTGTAACAGTCGAGGTCGACTTGATCCAATCCACCATCTCCGTATCGGGTGCTGGGTAAGCTCCGGAAACTCATCGGATGGCTTTTCCTCCGCGATCAAGGGTGGGTGACGAGTAGGGCTCCGACCCTACCATCTGATCAGATTGTGGTTAGCTTCATGATAATGGTGATAGGGGAATGTGTTGAGAGATGAAGACGATACAGACGGCAAAAGCGGTTGGAAATCCTCATCGAAGTGAGGACTTTGATACTCAATCTCGGCTCTGCAGACTCTGCAGTGAGAGCTGGAGGTTCGTAGGGGACACTACTGACAGGTGTTGAGAATAGTCCTCTGAGTCCTCACTGTAGTAGGTCGCTGGGTTTCGGAGTGCTGCAGCAAGGCCTTCCGTATCTCCGGCAATTTCGGCATTATAATATCATCCGAGTGCTCTTCCTTTATATTGAATTATCTTATGTGTACTTTTCTTTGATATTGTGTCAAAGCTAGATGGCTGCATACGCAATTAAAATCTGATGCAATGAAAATATCTGACGAGTTTCTAAGGGGGAATTATCCTCACTTCATCTTCTATGTAAGACCTCGATAATTATATTAGCCGCAGATGCTCGGCTATTTGCGAGAGCTCCGTCTGAAAATTTAAATAAAGGTGAGATTGGACAGGTAAACGGCCAACGTTTAAAAGGATCTGATGCTCAGTCAAACTGTTCGAAATGTCGCGCAATGAAATGATCGCAATATTTATGCGATGAAAGTGGAAGTTGATTAAAAGTGTGTCTTGTTTGGATTTCAACTAGAAGTTTTGTTTTGTTTTGTTCTTTAGCTTGCTACGTATAGTGACTACCGCTGCACTCCTACTGGAGCTTAAGCACGGGTGGGGCCGGGCCGGATCAGATTAACTACCGTAAAGTACAAGTGCCTCGTCTCACCTGAATGATCGGACCACCTCAGACCTCACCCATGTGTTGGACCATGTCAAGCCCAACCGTCCAGAGAACCCCCTTTTGACGCGCCGAAGCGCAAGTTCCTCCTCAGCCTCGGCCACCACGCGCCCGAGCCCTTGACACCTTCGCCATCTGTAACTTTTCCCTTCCGTTCAGTCCCAGCTTTGGCTCATCTCAGCATCTCCTCATCTCATCCAGGGTTCGTTTTCTTTACTGAAGGCCTCATCCAGTCGCCCACCAAGGCCTCCTCAGTTTGTGTTCCCTTTTGGTTCCTTCATGCAACATCCCTCTGTCTTTCGGCCGATAGCATTATCCCAGAAACTTTGTAGAATGTCCACCCCTCCGACATTGCCCCGTCGCTGCCGTACCCCTAACCGTTGTCACGAAATGGAGTCGTGATTGATCAATCAAACGAAGTTATCGAAGTCTATTCTGATTCTCTAAAATGATAATAACAAAAGTACTAAACGCGACCCGGTCCCGAAGGATTTATGATACATGGATATTTTACAAAGGGGGACTTAGCGTCTCCTAAGATCAACATGAAATGTGGAACCCCTAACTACTGTGTAGGGAATTCACACCTTTGGGCCCGTAACAACCGTGGAGGTCAAAAACGCGACTGAGAGCTCAAGACCGAGGCACCGATGCCCCAGCCTTTGTTGAACGCATTGGTTGGTATGCTGGTGAAATGTCGTAAGTATTTTGTTGGCAGCGATTCATCGCAGGTCGAGTTGTTGGTGCCCTTGGCCGAGGTGAGGACGCATCTAAGGCCGGTATTTCGACCGTACCTTCACAGCGACTGGCAGTTGTGTAGGGTCGAAAATCCTCTTGCTTCTTAGTTGGCGATTTGGCTTTTGGAGGTATGGGATTGCTTCGGTATGTTGCGAGATGATTGTGGAGAGGGGCGCGAGATGAGCTTAGCTGGGAATGATTTTCCGGAAAAAAACTAGATCCTGAAGGTGTCGGTTGTTGTGATATGAGCATCTGACAGGTTGTAGGCTGTCTGCGGTTCGTATCTGGGGTGCAGATAGTTGATTTCGTTGAGCTGTGCAGTCGTGAAATCTCTGCAAGTGGGTTTTTCGACCAATGATGAGCCAACACCATTCCTTCCGATCGCTAACTCAATGAAAACTCTCAAATTCACCCTACGTCGTGACTGAATCTCGGCTCAGGGAGAATATTTCACCCCCAGATTCTCAGAGGACATAACTGACAGATGTTTAGTCTTCGTGCTCCTTTCAGCTAGAATGTGGGAATTGAGCGCTACAGGCACTAGTTTAAGTGATATATCACCTAGGCTATATGGGAGCAGGACGATGGATACTCTTGGGGAAGTTATGCTCAAAGTAGGTCTCTATAGTCGCTGTCGCGTGTGTTCTCATAATATGTAAGACTTGACTCTATATTCTCGTATAAAGGAAGACTTGGTTTCAACGAATGAGTGGAGGTTGAGACCTCAATATATCTTGCTCCAGACTTACTGTGTTGTTCACAGCCTAGTGCTAGAACATTCCCTTATGATATCATTTCTCTCCTACGAGAAATGACCAGCTCGTTCTCTCTCGGTCTATCAGTCTCTCGCTGATTCCATTATCTCTATTCTATCGAGTTCTAGTTCGGTCCAGTATACCCACACATGCATTACACACTAAACACCCCACGGTTTAGTCCCACAGTCACGTGCACGTGCTTTGACGCGACCTAAAGCATGTACCATGGTAAGTTACATGGATAACACAACAGTAAGCGACATATAGCCTAAGCCATAGCACAAACGAATATGGCGTCCTCTAGGCTCAGAAAACTCTCAATAACCTCCTTGAGCCCATGCCATACAGCCGCTCATGTATCCAATAGGTTGCCTGAAGCGCTTCCATAATACCCATTCCAACCTCTTTACTACACAGAAGATCATGTCGGGAAGCTAGACAAAATGGAGCGCCCGTACGTCCACAACACTCTGTGTCTCAATTTCCAACACAAACTACTACTCCAATCTCGATTAGCTCTCCTTTCAGGTGTAGCCTATGAATAGAGACTAGTCTCAACTGAAAGTCCCGGCGAGATTATCTGATAGATCTAACGCGTGCGTCTAAAACGGACTATTATATTTATTTACATTTATTGTCTACCGGGCGAAAGCGAACGCTATTGCCCCATCACGGGGGGGAAATGGTGAATGCTACAAAAGAAACTACATTCATCTACAGTTGGATGTCGAGAGGCATTTGAAAAATAATTTCCCCTAGGATATTGTGAGCGCAATGCAGCCTATTCCTCACCTTACCAGATCGCACGTTGCGGATAGGGCATATTCCAGATGGAAACTTAGCCTTATCCAGTATAGAGGCGAATCGCTTAGCACCACGGGAGATGCCGAAAAGAAAATTGAGAGAGCCCAGACTTCGACGGAGGCCACCAGAGGCCAAGCTCTCTTTAGCAAGGGGGGAAAATCGGATAATTAGCGAGCTATGGGAAACTTGGTATAAAATCAAGATCACGTGTCATTAAGGCTATATTAAGCGACGAGAATCTGCTCCTGACAATCGACCCATGCCACGACCTAAACCACACACAACTCAAAAGTCCTATCCACTTTTGTCACGAAAAATATATCTGACATAATACTCAAGATGGATAACCATGTAGCTCATTCTTTACCAGCAAGATCCAGCCACGTTTTACATAGAACCTTTTCCCCAAAACATCGTATAAGGAATATTGGACAAAATGCGAGCGAGTGAGTCATGACATCCAAAGTGTAGATTTTCGATAGATACAGATAGCCTGAGCAAAGAACACTGACAAGAAATCTTTCGACTAAAATGCGCAGAGCTGGCAATCAAATTCCATAAATAGAAAAACATTGGGCACCTGTTCCGCCAACAGTGGATCGAATATAAACTGGCCATGAGACGTCGCATTTGTAGCTGTTGGGTTTGGCAATCCCGAACTCCAACATTTGAAACTGAAGTTGCTCCTTTTGTTGCCACGCTGGGCCTGTTAAGTGCCAAAAAACTGTGGCGCTTGCCTGCTTGAAGATGCATTGAAAACCTTTGAAAGACTCTCGTTCTCTGGGTAGAATTCCCGTGTTGACCCATGATAGAACACCACTAGTGTGCGTGGCTAATTGCGGGTTGCATCAGTTTCTCTTCCCGCCTACTTCTCAGTCATACCTAAAATAACTCCCAGTATTCCCTCTTCACGTCAGTAAATCCAAAGGACCCTGCCAGGGTTTTTCTATGGTTGGAAAACATGGTGCAGAAGGGTTCTGTAACTGCTCAAACCATCGGCTAGTCAGGAATCGCTTGAAAAGCCCGTTGCATGACGACCAAACTTCCTAAACTTAGCTCTGTTCGGCCCACGTGATGACTCATTTACCAGCATATCCTGAGATACAATTTGTTGGATGCAAAGGTACTTTTTTCGGACCAGATAATTCGAACGAAGACAGACAATTTCATGCTCTAACGGAGTTTCATCAACACTATTCCGCTGTCTACTACAATACCGAGGGTCCGGTGTTGAAATTTCGCCCTACACTTCTGCCGTCGCTTGCAAACAACAGCTACTTTTCTAACCTCGATTTCACTAGATCAGATGCGAGGTTTCCTCATTGTCATAGTTGCAAATTGTGTACTAGCAGCAGCTTCATTGCGATCTTTATTCCAATCAAACGTAGCGATTTATAAAGATAAGACGTGCAATAACCACGTAATTAAAGCCCAAGACATTCAACTAGCTGTAACTCGGGCATGTCAGTTAGTTAAGGAAAAAAAAAGAGGCCATCGCAAAAGACTCCGGGGAAATACAGAAAATCAGAGCTCCTCTAGCTTATTAGAAGAATATACCTTGCCCAGAGGTAAATTGTATTACAGATATCCTCTAAACTCTGCTCTTCAACCGCCCAGAAATAGTCAGTATATCTTACCCAATATTCATCTTTTAATGTTCTCGAAATCCCTCGAATGCTGATGCAAGCTAGAATATACCCTTGATACCTATGTGATTATCAGCCCTAGATGCAAATTTCACAGTCTAATGTATCACAATGTATATGCTTACTTAGGATTAGCTTTAAAGGGATGCACATAAAGAATAAATGATGTACGCAGACTTATACTTGTATAAGTCTGGATCCAGTCCAACAGCGAAAGTACAATCTGCATACAGACATGATGGACTAGTGATGATGATGCTCAGGTGCCTGATTAGGGGTAGGATTAGATATTACTGTCAAACCTCTGTTAAGACGATGTAATCGGGGCTGTGAAAAATATCGTCTTATAGGGGATATCGTTCTAAAGGATTTGATTACCTAATACATCTACAGTTAGATCCCTGTAAATGTGACGTAATCGGGCCGTGAAAAACATCGTCAGACAGAGAATATCGTTGCTCCACAGAAATTCCCTTTTTTGGCGGCATTTGTAGCACCCATCTTGCAAAAAACCCTGGTTAAGACGGTGTTCAGAGGTTGAAGAACGATAATCGTGTAATTGGTAAATGTATGGGAACGAAGTCCGTCCTGGAAAAATATCGTCTTAACAGGGGTCTGACTGAATATGCTGCGAGTACCACTTTATCCATACCTAAATTCGCTCTTACCTTTTGCCGATTCACGTGACCTTAACAAAAAGCCCCTGAAAGCTTTACATGGTAGCACTGGCCTAGGTTAACCATAACGAAAATTCTACGGTTGAAGACTCATGTGGAACTTTAGTACATCGTGGACAAAATGTTTTGGATGACCGTTAGAAGGGATTTTAATCTTATGAGATTATGTACATCAGAGTATCTAAGGCGGATCGGGAGATCGCTGCTAAAGGCACAAATCTGGATTAGACTGCTGATGAAAAGAAGCGGTCGGTGAAAACATTGGTCTTTTTTTGTGTCAGATTTTAATTGCGTATGCAGCTATCTAGCTATGACACAATATCAAAGAAAAGTACAGAATGGATGATTCAACATAAAGGAAAAGCACTCATGCCTCGGATTTCATTTGCAAGTACCACTGCGAAGTTGTCTCGGCTTTTTCTTCACCCCAAGTCAGCCCTCAGCCGTGAATACCCACCCAGGGGAACGTCTAAAAAACCCTGAGTTATCCAGACATGCCTCCATCATCTTTCAACTTTTCTCCGCGCGATATGTAATTTAAGATATCTCCTTCCCGAGTGGAGTGGTTGCCCAGGCTACTCAAACCATACCAGAGAACACCACCAAGAGGCGGACCACGGCAACTTCCGTAGTCGGCTTGTTTTTATAGTGTTAGCTGCACTCTCGCAAGCGAAGTCTTGGCACGCACAAAGCTCAATTCGTAAAACTCTTGCCAAATTTGGGAATCTCACGCCCGTCGAGACTGTATACTTCCTTTGTATCATCTTGTAAACTTGTCCTGATCCCTCTCACCTCCATCCCAGAGAGCTGTCTCGCAGATTTGTGCGCCACGCTTTGCTTCCTTCTGCGGGTGTAAGTATCGGCGTGGGCGTGTATTTAGTGGTCAACTGAGGCCGGTGAAGGTCAAAGAGTGGTGTGGTCATTGGGATGAGGATGTAATTGTCGCCGGATCAACTGGTGTTGGTATACAGCAGACCAAGTCCAGAATAAAATCAGTTAATTTACTAAATTAAGAGACGGAAGGTCCACTGCATCTTGCTATTTACATAAGGAATTTTAATTAACGACGCTGATCATAACAGCCTCCGTTGCTTAGCAACCGTCTCCAATCTCCGCCCTTGGTAGTCTCTATAGCTGACTAGACCCTAGATTCCATCTCTACCGTACTGGCGCAGACAGTACACACACAAGAGTGTATACCCGTAACAGTACTTGGTCGTACTTGTATGCTTGATGAGACTTAGGTAGGAGTCAAACTCGTTGGGAGCGAAAAACGACGTGGAGGAGTAATTTGGATTTTTGCCTCGTGGGCCAACTTCTTTGATATTTCGAAATTTGACTGAACTTGGCTCTGGGAGAAAATTCCACTCCCAGGTTCGTAGAGGACACCGCGTACAGGTGTTCAGTCTTGCCCTCCAACATGGTTGGTCGTTTAGATTTCGTACCAAGTAACTTCATCTATGAGTTCGATATTGTATCGAGCGGAAGTTAGAGTGAAAGTTCCAAGTCCGGACCTAGAAGAAAATGCTCAGACAAACGATCCTCTGAATGAGTGGATCGGGACGAAGATGAATGGCGGGACAAGGATTCCGAGCGAGACGCATCGTCAAGGCGGTCAGATCGGCATGATGATTGCAAAAATCTACTAAACGATGAAGGTGTTGGAGCAGGACGGGACAGCCCTGTTAGAACTGCTTGAAGGGACGGAAGAGAAATGTTGCTCGAGTGGAACCTTTATGATTGGAAACCACCTCGATCAGCCTTTTGAGAAGAATTAAAAATTGGTACATGTCCGGAGAGGCTGTGTTACAATAGCTAGAGTATATAGGGTATGAAGTCAGGATGGAGTTGACGCCACTGGACGAAGTAAGAATCACTGCTGTTATTCAGCGGGATACGACAGCAAAGACTGGAAACTTAGTCCTGGAAATGAAGCGTGGCGCGGAGATGATGAGGCTATTCGAACGAACCTATTGTCAATTTGTCAATTTTTTTAAATCAGTTGATCCTAAGCTAAAGCTCTTTATCCACAATAGATGAAGAACCAGTAGAGCAGGCAATGTTTCCTGTAATTTTTCCTACAGCCTAACTTGTTCCAATCTCGCAAATCGCTGCCAAAGGTACAGCTGATTAGACAGAAACAAGAATTCAAGAGAATAAAAACAACTTCGAAAGACAGAAGACTTCTCCATGTTGGACCCGAGCATTGAGATCCTCACACATTCCATCGTCCTTCATACCTTCCAAATGACAAATGTCAAATTTACTCCATCTCCGCTGAGAGCAAGAGATGAGTTAGCAGGAACATTTGATCCAGCTGGTATCCTGCTATTAGTTAGTAAATGCCCCAAAAGGGACATCGCCGAGGTCGCTGTGTCCTCAAGCTTCTTCTTCAGATTTCAGCACTCCGAAACCTGCTCCCTCGGCCGTCGAGACATTGTTGTGGTTATGAGCTATGCGGAAGTCACATTGCGGAGTGATGAGGAGTGGATGATGTAATAATTAGTTATTGACAGTGAATAGGCTCATACAATATTATGCTGTAGGTATATGGACAGAAAGTAGAAGACTAAACCTGTATCCATTTATTATGGGTACATCTAAGAAACTATATACATGCTCGTCTAACCTGTACACTAGTGATGTATGCTGTAGCCTTAAGCCACACGCGATGACCTAGCCTCGACTATCTCGTTGTCTCATCACAACAGACATCCTTTGTAAACGCACGTATCGCCTCTTCATCCCTCTTGGCTGCAACCCGAGCTCGTGCCACCTCTGTGAATCTCTCGTGCTCGATATGACTTATCCACGCGAGCTGCTCTTTTGTCACCGGTCCCGACTTTCTGGGTCTAGCTTGGCAGTCCCGGTAATCCGATCAACGAGGTCCCCCACAGTTGCGACAACGTGTGAGAGCCTTGCATTCTGAAACAGAGTGCATATTAGATATGCAGTTCTAGCAGGCTGGAGCGCGGGAGCAAGCACGGGTGGCGTGGAAGCCCAAACAGCGTTTGCACTGTTCCATTGGTCGAAGAGGCTGGACCTTTGTCGCCGCTCCAGACTCCTTGAGAAGGCGGAAGCCTGCACAAAGGGTGAATTCTCGGGCAAACGTGGCTTGCCAATTTCTGTACGGCGCCCTAAGACGACATATCCAATGCGGTCGGACCTAGATTGCCACCTTTAGGGTTCTATAGCAGATCTCGGTTAAAATCCACTTAACATCGACCGTACGAATACCGTCGGTTGTTCATATGGTCGCGGGAATATTCGCGATCAGAAAGGCGACAAGTTCGAAGGCTTCTCCGACCTTGGCGTTGAAATCGGACCATTTCGGTGCGGCATCCAGGAGCCTTTCCCTTTTATTTTCATCCCTTGTCAGAATCGGCTTTGCGATTCTGACTCGGTGGAAAGTGCAGGCGTCATCCATGACGCACTGCAGCCCATCCTATACTTTCTCCAGGATAGCATAAGGGAAGAACTTGCGCCGCGGGCGATCGCTTCCGAGTCGAAGAAATAGTCGTTTGTCGACTTTCGCCTTGTGAGCTTCTTTTTTCGAGGCTGTGGCTGTAGCTTGCGGCACAGCCTTTACCGTAGGGACTGCATTTTGTCGAAGTCCATTTTCGGCCACCGTGGCTCAGGTGCTTCTTACAGGCAGCTATGGGACGGCGGGTGATATTTGGTCCCTGGCGTCGGTAGCCCTTGGGAGAGGGACGACGAGCGTGGAGGCCATGTATTGTGCAATGACGGCACGTAGGTAGACTCTCATGGGGTCTATAAATTATCTGTTTGACCCGTTGGTCAAAGAGAGAAGAGTGGCTTCGACGCCAGAGATGACGGCGGAACAGAGTGCCAGATTTGCCGCTTTTTCGGCAGCGCGTTGTTGTTCGGCATCGACAATTGGTTGAAGCTCGGGCGGGTAATCTGCTATCGTGGTAGCTTGAGGCTGCGACTCTTTCATTGAATCTCCATTTGGCAGAGCTTTCTCCGACGGTTTTGTTGCGGTTGGAGGAGGTTTGGACGATTCTCCAATCCCGTGAGGGACGGAGGATGGTTGACGAATTTCCTCAAAATTTTTGATTGACTCGATCATTTCAGTATCGGGCGCAGAGACGGCGAGAAGGGCTTTTAACTTCTCTTTAGTTGAGTCCTTGATTATCTCCACGCTCTTTGGAGACTGAGCAAGGCCCGGAGTTTGTGCGAGAGCCCTCGGGCGGACTCCCTTGTTGTCCAACAAGACTTTTGGACGCTTTTTACGAATAGGGGGCGTGGTGAAAATGCCTCGGCTAGATCACAATTCAGAGGCAGATGCGAGGAGGTCGAGAGGGGTGGTAAAAGTGAAAAAGGGATTTTCCGAATGTCCCGAATTGTTTGTTGCTTGTTTTTAAACGATTGTCTGTCTGTCGAGACACCGAACCTTGGCTTAAATCCCTACTACCCACTAAACTAACTAGAGGTATGGACACCATCGTTTACTGCCC